TTGTTGGCGGTTCTAACTATAAAACCTTTGATGGTATTAGAGATAATGGTATTAGCGGTTCTATATATATAATCGCTAATACCATAAGTGATTCTAAATAATTTGGTTTTATCATTAGTGGTACTATGTATGTAATTTGGCATAATTGAAAGCTTAAGTAAATGAGGTAGCTTCAAATAAGAACCGCTAATGACATTATAGGTTATATGCATAGAACCTCTAATGGTATTAGTGGTTCTATATACATTGTTAGCAATTTTAAACTAGCAAATTCCAAGCTTTAGAACTGATCCTATATGTACGATATTGTGGAAAATAGTTTTTAAACCGACTTATATACAGAATTAATTTGCATTTTAGCAATATTATGTAGATATAATTGATTCCATACCTTGGCTGCAAGCACTGCACATCCTAGCGAAACACGAAATCTACACATCTAACTACGAAAGCATCAACAATTAGCTAATAATAGTAAGCAATAATTGTCTACCTAAGAATGTCACCAAATTTGAAAGAACCAAATAGTGCTATTCGACCCCATAAACCATCAGTTTAACATCCCTCCATTATCTAGGGTATTCAGAATTGGAAGTCCTTATGAGCGATCCATCCATACTCAAGAACTCAGTAGTTGGCAATGATCTAAGCAGTTCTACCTACATAACCCACACGATCAATGCCCTAAGAAAAAACCATAAAACACCTTAAAATCATTCTGATTGAACCTTTAACATACTTTAAAAGAAATAACATAAGGCCGCTAAATCCCAATATGCTCTGAAAAAGTGGGCTTATGTAGTTCATTAAAACGTATAAAAATAGGGGAAAAAAAGTCATTGGAACAACAATAACAATAAACAAATGAAGAGTAGCAGCAGGTTGTCAATTGTGTAACATATTGCATGATTTGCATCTCATAGAAACCAGCAAGTTGACTAACTTGACTTAGGTCATATATTTAAGGGCCACTAAGGCACACAGGAAAACACTCATAAGGCATAAGCTATATTATTACATGGAATGAGTTGGGTGTTGCTATATATATTCCTAAAATTTTGTTAAACACTCTTGAATATTCCTTAAGATAAGATCATTATCACAATTTAACCTTTCACATGTGTATATTATGGAGTGAAGACACTGAGATATTGTTATCTTATAGTATACGGCTAATATATTACCAATAAGTAAAGTAAGTAACTTACACGTGTGTGTAATTGTGAAACTCCTAAAATAAAAGATATAAATTATGAAATATAAATTGATACTCAACAAAATCAAGACCATGCTATTAATTTCATAATTTCAAAGAATTACATGAATTTGAATCATTATTTATAAAATTAATAAATCCAAAACATAATTAATCATATCATATTTATATCTATACTTAGTATTAAAAACTCTTACCAAGAAAGACACATGTCTCCATCTTATTACACTTCTCCATCTTCCTCTCTAACCCAAGTGCCACATGTCTTCTTACATAATTAATTTTTTATTACACTATTTTTCTTTAATTCTTTCATTAAACTTATACTTCATCTTCCACGCACACTTCATCTCATCTCCCGTCTTTAATTTAACCTTTTCCTTTTTACTCTTTAATTTTAGTCCCTCCACTTTCTTTATTAAATCCTCATTTTCACTTAAAGTTTTTAAAAAATTTAATTTCCTTAATCATTTTTTTAATACACATTATAACCATAATGACTTATTGATATGTCCTCAACTCATTCATCTTTCAATGCAATTTTTTATAAATAACGTGTGCATTGCACGGGCCAGAATGCTAGTTATATCACTAATAAATAAAGCCGATCTCGCAACCAGGTTACGGGACAGCGACACTTGACATTTCAGTTTTCTGCCAAGTGTCGCGTCATATAGGCAACAAATAGATATTATTGAGGCTAAGTAAACGATTTTTTGATAGATTTTTTAAGATAAAAATGTTGTATAGAGTTTTATTATCGATATCATATCATATCACTAATATATAAAGCCGGTCTCGCAGCCAGACCACAAGACAGTGACACTTGGCATTCCAGTTTTTCGCCAAGTGTCGCGCCACATAGGCGAAAAATAGGTATTGTTGTGACACATATGATACTAAGTAAGCGATTTTTGGATAGATTCTTAAGATAAAATTGTTTTTTAGAGTTTTTTTACCGATAGATTTCTAATATTTCATATATACAAAATTAATCATAACTTTTAATAAATGTCCTATAACTCTGTTCTATTTCCATCATCAAATTCGTTTTAAAAAGTTCTATAAAATAAGTTCCATTATTTATAATATATTTAATCACAAACTTTTATACGTAGCTGGCCAAATTGTGCCAACTATTACAAAAGTTACTTCGTTAGTGCTATAAGGGTTATTTGGTCAGTGTCATAGTGGTTACTCAATCAGTGTTATAAATATATAGGGGTGGGTTACTTAGTCGGTGTTAGAGGTTGCTCAGTTAGTATCACATGAGTTACTCGGTCAGTTTTATAGGGGTTACTTTGTTCGGCTAGATGGTGTGGCTAGCCGCATACAAAATGCATTGTTATTTAATTTATTTAAAATAATATTAGAGAATCAATAAAAATAAGTTTTAATTAGTAAAAATAATTTTAGTTTGGTAAAAATACTTTCAGTTCAGTGAAAATAATTTAAGTTCAATAAAAATAATTTCAAGTCAATAATAACATAGATATCTATTTACAAGCAAAACTACAAAAAGTACACTCCACATGATATCGTATGTCTAAATATCATACATTATCAAAACGAATGATTTGACTGTATTTAACATTCAAGTTAAAATGTTATCTTAAAATTTTATCAACCACCTGGGCGTCGCCTGGCACAAAACTAGTAACTAATATATAAAGCTAAATTTTTAGCCAGGCCACGAGACAACGACACTTGGCATTTCAGTTTTTTGCCAAGTGTCGAGCCACGAGATAACAATTAAATATTAATATGACACATAGGATTTATTTAGATATATATTTTATGAATAAAAAAGTTGTATTTTTTTAATAGGATAAAAAACTAGGATACATTTTGTAGTATAAAAAATAAAAGTTAGTTTAGAGTTTTATTTTCAATAAAATTTGGATAGATTTATAGGATAAAATTGTTGATTTAGAGTTTTATTTCCGATAAAATACCTCTATTTCACATGTATAAAATAAATTATAAGTGTAGCCAGATCACAAGACAACACTTGACATTTCAACTTTTCACCAAATATCACGTCATGTAGACAACAATTTAATAATTATCATATATAATTATATTTATATCATAAATTTTTAAGGAGCAAAGGAAGTAGTTCAAAAAATGCAACATTCATTTATAATATATGCTAATAGATTTAAATAAAATACTTCACAATCTAATATGATTTTATTACTTTATGTAGAACTATTAATCGGGTCAGGTCACGGGTCGAGTCACTTCAGGTCACAGGTCAAAAAATGTTCACACTAGCCCAAAGTTTCAAGTTCGGGTGAACTCAACGGGCTTAGAACAATTTTTTGATTTGCTTTATTTTTGGCTAATTTTTAGAAATTTCTAATATTTCAAACGTACTTTGCTATTTTTTTTATATAATTTTTTAAATCAAGCATTTTCACCAATATTATTATTAGTCATTATATCCTTATTGCATAATTTAAATCGTCACAAAATCACATCAATTCCTAACTAATTTTGTATCAATGATATATTTTAAAACTTGGTATATAGATAAAAAAAATTATCTTATAAATTCATTAAACAACCCTGGCATCGCACGGGGCATGAAACTAGTACTTCTAATATTTTTTATATACATAATTAATCATAACTTTTAATAAATATCTTATAATTCGATTTTATTTTCATCATAAAATTCTTTTTATTTTCATCATAAAATTCCTGTGACTTTAATCATGTTTTTTATTACACATTATAACCATAATGACTTACTTATATTTCCTCATTCATTTTTAATTTCAATGCAATTTTCTATGAATAACCTGTGCATTGCACGGGCCAAAAGGCTAGTTTAAGCCAATAAGGTAATAAGTACACGATTAGGTGGCATAACAACCTTAAAAGCTATACCACGCATTCATTAACGTGGGTATATATCAATATAGTGTGTAAATAGGCATTTTGTTAAACAAAAAAAAAGGGTAAGTTCTTTCAAAAAATAAAAAAGGGTAAGGAATCGAGTAAGTATAGGCCCATACCTGGTATGGTCCATACCAAGTACTTTTTTTGTTTTTGTTTATCCGGTTATTATTGATAAATATATTGTTATTGTTGATTTTATACTGTTATTTTTTATTCTATATTGTTATTATTCCAGCGAGATTTTTGATAAAGAAAGAGGGAAAGAGGAAAGAGCGTATTTTTTATTATACTGTTATTATTAATTTTATACTGTTATTATTGATTTTTATACTGTTTTCGTCTCTTGGTATGGACCATACCTGGTAGTGGCCCATCATGCCTCAGAAAGGAATCCAAAAATTAGAAAATAACACCACAAATTATGCAAAAAATGGATTATAACACCACAAATTCTCAAACTTTTATTATAGCACCACAAAAAAATCCAAAACTTGTACTTCACCACCATCTAACGGATTCTTGGATGGAATCCGTTAGTGAGGCTCACCTTAGACATGTGTCACTCAGCTATTTGTTTTTATAAAAAAAAAAAAAAATTAAAAAAAACCTAAACCCTAACCCAGCCCACCACCACCACTGCCACTGTCGGCAGGCTAACCCTAGCCGCCGGCACTCCCTGCCCTACCTTCACCGTCGAAACCAGCCCAACCACCACCCCTAAAACCAGCAACTTAGCGCCTTCCCCTTTTCCCCTTCACGGAAAACCAGCCAGTGTTTTTCGACCACCGCTCAAAACCACCCCTCCTATTCTCCACCCTTGAAACGGCGAAAACGTCTGGGTGCTAGAGTTGGGCAGGCGGAGTTCTGGGCATTGCGTGAGACGGTTGCGGTGGCTGGGGTGGTTTTCCGGGAGGAGGAAAGGGGGATTAGGTGGAGTCGGCGGTTTTGGTGGGGTCAAGGGGTTCCAGCGGGAGGTCAGGGGGTTCCGGCGTTTTCCGACAGGAGGTTAGGGAGTTTCGTCAGGAGGTCAGGAGGTTCCAGCGTTTGGCTTTGGCAGGTGGTTACGGTGGTGGGGTTGGGTTGGGTTAGGATTTAGAGTATTTTTTTATTTATCCTTTTTTTTTAGAACAAATAGCTGACTGACACGCGTTCACAGTGAGCCCTACTAACAGATTTCATCCAAGAATCCGTTAGTTGGTGGTGAAATCAAATTTGTTGATTTTTTTTATGGTGTTATGATAAAAGTTTAAGATTTTATAGTGTTATAATCTATTTCTTTTGTATAATTTGTGGTGGTATTTTTTAATTTTTCCTTTTTATTGATAATATTATAATTTTAGGGGTTTACGAAGTATGGAGTACTCTTCTTCTTTAAAAACTCTTCTTCTTAACAAACCATTGATTTGCTGCTCACTCTTACAAGTATTTCCTCAAGAAGAAGAAAAGCAGCAGCGGTGCGATGAATATGAAGAGCGTCTACTTATTTATGACTCATTTTGGAAGCAGCATGGCTCACACCTTGTTCGCCATCCCCATAGACCTCTGTAATCGTGAATGCGACGAGAAAAAACCTTCCGACCAAAGAAGAATTGAGCCAATCATTGAATTCCCTGCCTCAGAATACCCTCTAGTGATGGCCTGTGCGAAACTGGGTTCCAGGCTTTACATCTTGGGCGGAGAGCGCCAGCGTTCACCTTGTTGTTCCGGTTCAGAGTCGGACCCCAATCAGATTTATCCTCCCGATGTGTATGTGCTTGATGAAAACCGCAACATACAGAAATTAAAAGTGGGGATGAATACAGGTAAGCCTACTCCGGTGGCGTTCACTGCGGACGGAAAATTGTTCATTCTTGGCAGTTGCGGTGGACCAAATCTGATTAGCTGCACCAGCCTTAAACCCATCGACTTACCCTCCTCGTCGTTGCGGTTTTTCGAGGTGTTTGATCCCACCACCAACGAGTGGACAATCCTGGATGACCCACCTGTCACCACCCCCACCATCTGGGTTTCCTCCCCAGTGGTGGTTGGCCGGAAGGTGTACTTGTATGGGCGGTTTCTCGGTAAGGGCGGATCTGGGGTTCTGCTCTCCTTCCATCTGGACTCGTACCATTGGGAATGGGCAGGGATTGGTTCCAATGATGCAAATTTTCCACAACTTCGCCGCCATAGGCCCGGTCGCATTCTAATTGGTGACACCTACTATGGGCTCGCCAAGCTAGGTGCCGGGGTGGTGCGCCAGAGGATAACAGAAGAGGATGAGCAACTACTATTCCGCCTCCCTAGAGGTATACATAGTCTCAGCACAAATGGGTTTTGCCACCTTGGGGACTCCAATTTCTGCACAGTAGTCACTGGCTCTTTACCGGAACCTGGGGTCCCCCTCCATTTTGGAATGCTTGATCAGAATCGCCGCTTTTTTTCTATTCGGGTTTTCCGGGAGATAGAGGGACCGGAACCGCATTCCATATCAACAGACTTGTTGTATTCTGCTGATTACCTCTTCCAATCCACCTACCCCAGCTTTGGCTCCCTCCATGGGTGTTACCCTTTTGACACTACCCTCCATTCTGTGAGTTCCCTATCCTTTGCTGCTTCTTTTTCCTATGTTTTATACCTATAATTTATGTTTGGTTCTTATTATGCTCTACCAATTTCAATATACAATTATGGAATTCAAATGTGTAGCTTTACAAATTCTCTCAAAAATAACCATATCCTTTGCTGCTTCTTATTCATATGTTTTATACCTATAACTTATGCTTTTATTATGCTCTACCAATTTCGATATACGATTATGGAATTCAAATTTTTTATTTGTCTATGGGATAAATGGGTTAGCTTTACAATTTCCCTCAAAAATCATTACTATAATTGGTCATGGTCATAAAGATTGAGTCTTTAGAGGTTGTTTCAGCTGTGAAAGTAACCATATTAATAGAGGTTTATAGACCTCTCTTCAAAATTGTATCAATTGAGATTTTTCTGGATGTTGACTTGATATTGAAGCTAGTATTCATAGGGGTGCAAGGAATTAAAAAGATCATGAGAGGCTTTCTTTGGCTGGGAGGCAATGTACTCTGAAGAGTATAAACTTGACTCATCAATTCTGGTACATATCAAGGAAGATGTTGCTGGTTATCTTCCTGTTTTCTCTTCATTGGTATTTCCACCACATAATCCTTGAGCCATTGAGGTTCACTTTCTAGTCTCCTGTTCATTTTTCTATAACATTCTCAGCATTCTCAATCACTACTTCTGTTTCTCCTTGTTGGTGAGCAATCTTTGCATTATTATGTTCTTCATTCCTATGTTCATTTTCCTGAAGAAATTCATTTTTTTTTTCGGTTTCTTGACGGATATCAACCTGAGCTTCAACTTCATGATCTGTTCTCTTCAAAATGTTCACTATATCATCTTCTCCTTTCCTTATCAGAAAAGGAAAAATGTTCTTTTCAAACTTTACATCCATGCTCTCTAAAATTTTGTTATTTTCCATATCTAACAATTTATACCCCTTCTGTCCATAAGGATATCCGACCAAAACACACCTGATTCCTCTTGCAGCAAAATTGTCTTGTGGCTCTCTAGTACCACTTGCATAACAAAGGCTTCCTATCACCCTCAAGTGATCATACTTGGGGTTCTTTCTTCATGAGCTTCTCAAAAGGAGTTTTCCAAACTCAAGAAATTAGTCTTCATCTGGTCATAACCAAAATTCAATCCCAGAATGAACTTAATCAATTTGTTCTTTCCTTTCATATCAAGTACCTTTTTCACAACATCACATGTACATTTGGACATTGCACCACATGTACATTCAGGAATTTCTTCAAGCTCAGAATTTTGATCCCAAAGATATTTCAGCTTACAATAATATTCACTCACACTGAGGTTGGTCATCGTCATGGGCCTCTGATCAAGTGGAAGGTGGATATGATCACAGCCTTTCTCTTGGACCGAGGATGTGAGAAAGTGAAGGTTTTTTTTATCCTTCAAGGTTTTATTGTTCGAAATCTCTCCCCTGTCTTCTGAGGCCTTCTCCCTTTTTCCTGAGCTCTATGATGCGCTAAATCTTTCACAGAAACTAGAGGCACAAAGCCCTTGTTAAGGTACGGGTTTGTGTTATGTGAGGATAGCTAGTGAATTTGGTTCTCATTTGTTTCTTCACTTTGCATATCTATATAATATTATTATTTTCTATATATTAAAAAGGGAAAATTACACTTAGGTGGCCACACCAACACAAGTTAAACTAGTCTTTGTAGTGGATTCACAAATATAGTCATACACACACACAACCAAGTAAAAAATTGAACAACAAATTTAGGGAAGAAAGATGGCAGCTTTCATTCACAGGCAAAAGGTTTTTACAGCTATAGGTTTAGCCTATCAATCTCCTCAGTGAGTTTAGCTTACCACTTTCCAGAAATCTACTCAATACAATGCCTGCCTTTCCTCCCCTCCCCCCCCCTCTCTTATATATACAACTTAAGCAAAAGGATGCCCTAATTGGCTGCTAAGTTTGTCTCTTTCTCCAGCTGTCTTTTCTCAGCATTCTCTGGGTGATGACTACTCTTAGGATCTGCTGCCTGTGTGCTGTGGTGAGTGCCACACTCCTTAGTGGGTCTGCTGCCTTGTCTTCTTCTGGAGTAGGTGTGGACCACTGGTGGTATGACATGGTCTATTACAGTCCTCTTTCTATACTCATAGAGTTTGCTGTGTAAATCTACCTTGTTCTAAATAGTCTCCAATTACTGCCGTGTTGCCACACTACATGACTCCCATTATTATTGCCCCCAGTTTCACCCCACCTTCATTTAGTGCCTGTTCAAGTTTCAACTTGCTCGGCCAAACAGTCTACAACAGTGTCCTTTTCCAAGTTGGAAGCAACAAAAGGAGGGGGTTAGGAGGAATGGGGGTTGGGTTGATTTCATTGCTGTTCGTCCTTTCTTCAATTTTTTCGGGAGGAGGGGAGATCAGATCAGTGCGTCACCCAATTAAATAGTGAAGGAGGATCCAAGCTTCCTGCTGTAGTTAAGATAAAAATTTCATCTCAGCTCCCAGTATATACCGTTTTAGACATAAGAAAACATGTAATGAGAATGTTTAGGAGGGAAGAAAAGCTAGTCATTCCCGGTGGAGGTGGGGCAGAAACTATGTAGATGTAGATTTCATTGACTTTGATCAGGCTCACCGTTTTAGACATAAGAAAACATGTAATGAGAATGTTTGGGAGGGAAGAAAAGCTAGTCATTCCTGGTGGAGGCGGGCAGAAACTATGTAGATGTAGATTTCATTGACTTTGATCAGGCTCCCAATATATTCCGCCATAGACATTAGGAAAACAACTAATGGAATTTGGGAGGGAAGAAAGAAAGTCATTCCCAGTGGAGCTGGGGCAGAAGCTATGTATATTGAATTTGATTTTGTGAAAATCGAGTACAAGAGCCGCAGTATCTTAGTGTTCTTTATTGTGTGTGTGTGTTTTCATCCCCCTCCCCCCTCTCTGCACACACACACATAAAAAACCTCAACTCCCAATGCTCCTATCATGGTTGTCAGATCTAAATCATTAAATCTCTCCAAGCCAGAATCAATGATTGCTATGTCCCATACCTAAGGAAAAAAAAAATCTTTTAAATTCATACATACATGCATACATCGACATATAAGACTAAAGAATGGTTTTGCATATATTTACAGCAAGGAAAAAAGAGAAGGAAAAACAGGAAACAATACAACGTACATGATGCAAGTTGGTGCTTTGATTGTAAAATTATACATCAAACCATAACATCACATCATATCGAACCACATTTTAACTTGAATTGCAATCCAATTACATAAAATCAATACCATAAACTTATAACACTAATCTGATATGATATCTACTTATAATAGTTATAAGTTATCATACATGTGATTGCTTATGAAACCAGGTGAATTGCTTGTCTAATTGGAAGGTACAGATTGTCTCCTGAAATTTTCGATGCAATCTTAATTTATTGCAGAGATGTAGAGTTGTTCATTTGGGAGGGATTGCAGCATCCTTAATTTGTTTCGTTTTGTGAAATTATTGATATGAGTTTTATGCAAGGAGTTATTTTAGTTGATTGAAAAAGGTGCGGTTAAACACTGTGTTGCATATTTCAAATGGAGCTCTTTATTTTTAAATGTTTGTCATAATGTCATTTCTGTAGACATTGAGAAAATTGGAGTGAAGGATATGATTATTCATGGACAATTAGAATTTTATTTACAGCTTGTAGTTCTTTGACTAAGTTTATTCTGGAAAGAATACTGTAGAGTGTAGAGTATATGTTGGCTGGCCTGGGGTGATTTCAGTGTTTCGACCTTGTTGCAATTTATTCTGGCTATTCATTTTCCTTGGGTTAAGAGGGAGGAAGGGGGTATTCATTTACGAAGTATGCTGTAGCTCTTGAGAAAGTTGCTGAGTGTTTGGTTTGTGGATGCTTGTTTGTTCATTTGTTTATGTAAAGAGGGCAAAATGGAAGTCCGGATATAAAATCTCTTTAATTTCTCTATTACTATGAATTCTAAACAGCCTGACTATGTGTACATGTGTATCATTCCTCGGTGTATTTTAAGTTAGCAAAGTGGTAGTTCGAAATTTAGAGGTAGTGTGCGTTGTATGTAGTGAATAGTACAAGGGCCACAAAAAACATGAATTTCATAGCTAGAAGTATAATAAACTAGTATTTACTATTTAGTAGTACAAGGGCCACAAAAAAACAACTCTAGCTTGTTTGCGAGCTTTTCAAGTTGAACTCGGACTTGCTCAGGTTAACAGCACCATCAAGCTGAACTCGGACTTGCTCAGATTAGTTTGTAATTAATTATGTTTTTTAGTATGTAGTTGAGGTTATAAAGTTTTGAGTAAGGGTATTCTGGTCAATTTGCTGGAACAAACTTGTTATATTTGGAAAAAAATTGTTGCACATAAAAAGAAAGCATCTATTTATAGTATATGTTGCAAATGATAGTTAACGGAAGAACGATATTTATTCATATGGTCCACAAACAAGGGGGATTAATTGTTATGAGGGGAAAGAATGAAATAAAATGGATGAGAACAGTTCACCAAACATGACTACCAAATCTAAATTGCTGAGAACTCCCACTATGATTTGGTTATGAGAGTTGTTTCATTATGTCCAAGTTAATGTTGAGATAGTAAGTCCATGCAAAGGATGAATAGCTAGGGAGGTAGAGGATCTCCCTCTTAAAGTCGAGCATTTATTTTAATTTATTTGCCCCCCCCCCCCCCCCAAAAAAAAAAAAAAAAGGGATTCCCTTCGTTCCACTTGATAGTTTACATTTTACTCCATCCCACTTGATAACTTGCGTTTTCTTTTTAGCCAAGATTTTGTAATGTAAAAAACGAAAAAAAATTGTCAATTACTCTCCTCTTGCATGGGTCTCCTTCTCTCATAACATGGGTAACCTAAAAACTTTGATCCAAAAGTAAATGTAAACCATCAAGTGCAAATTCTAGTTACACATTCTATACTAGATTTGATATTTTTAACTGGCTTGATGTACGAAGTAGAAAACTGCAAATTCTACATAATATCTGATGGTGACACAATAGAAGTGTTTTTATTTTCTTTTATCCACTTGTTTCTGTTGTCATTGATTAGACTAGATCTGATTATGATCTATACCTTCCTCCCTTATTATAAATGTATCTTTTTCTTTATAAATAAAATTTATTTGGTGTTCACAGATTGACATTCCTCTCTTACTATTAATGTATCCTTTTCTATATTAATAAAATTTCTTTGGTGTTCACAGATTGATTTTGATGCTAAAGTATCTCAAGAAAAGAAAATAGAAGAGGAAGCATGAGAAAGCAGAGATAGACGACCAAAGCTTCCTTGAATTACAAGAAAACATTCGGAGTAACTTATTATGGAAAGATGAAGATGTTGGACTCATCTTATTTATGGAAGTAACTTACTATGATTGTATGTATGTATGCATACTAATTTACTAATGCATTTAGTTGTCTATGCTTAGTCGCGATAGTTTCCTAAATGCTAGAATGTTCTAATGTGCAAGCAGCGGTTCTGTTGAGTCATTTTGGAAACAAACAGGATTTGGCGCTTTAACTCTTTCTTAAGGTTAAAGACATACTAATTGTAGTTTTTTTCTACTTATTGTACTTCTATATCTTGATTATTCAAGTGCTTTTGGCTTTGCAGCAAATAAATATGAAAGTATTCAGATTATACTTTTGAGTAATTTAGGATGGTCTGAAATGAAAAAACATATCAAATTCGAGACATAGATATTGTTGGGTGGAACATCCACAATGTATGATTAGAATTTCCATATGCTCTTGCATAACACTAACTATAAGCTATAAAGTTTTTTGACATATTTCATACACTAACATAAGTGGTTAGATCTTTTAAGAGCTAATAATACAAATCAAGCATGACAACATTGCATATCAATTTCGGGTGATCGGAAATAAATTTTCAAGAATATGGGTCTTGTACACATTTTAGCTTCTCTTTAAAAATTAATTGGTTTATTTATATACTTACCCCCTTTTGTTTATGTCAATTTGAGAATAACCCCTTTAACAATCTCTCTCAAAACTCAAATCTCTTCCAACTATATATGCAATTAAGGTAAGGGCAAATTTCTTCCGACTAAATATGCAATTAAAGTAAGTGCGAATTAATTGCATGTAATTTCGACCTGATTGGAGTTGATCAAAGCAGAATCAGCGCAATCTACATTATGGATTTTAAATTTGAATGTTCTAAAGTTAGGGTTCATAAGAATTTGGGAAAATTTTAAATTGATATAATCTAGAAAATTTGGGGTCATTAATGAGCAATTAACATCAAATTCAGTTAACATTTACGCTTAATTGGAGTTGATTGAATGAGTATCAAGGCGTTGTATGAATTCTAAATTCTAACATCATGAGTTAGGTTTCAATATGATTTTGGGGATCTCAAAAATTGATATAATTTGGGAAAATTGGACACATTTATGAGCAGTTGACTTCAAATTGGTTGACAATTACGCTTAATTGGAGTTTTGCATGTATGTATCTTGAATTTTGAATCTTCAAAGTTAGGGTTTGTATGAATTCAGGGAATTTTAAGAATAGATATTATTTGAAAATAAATTTATTTATGAGCATTTAACTTCAAATAGAGTAATAGACTAACAAGTTTGCTTATTATTTGATGCATATATAGGCTATGTAATAATTAACTTCCAATGGAGTAATAAAATTTGAAAAATCCCCAAATTCTAGAAACCTTAATTGAGAGACAAACTAGAAATTATTCGAGTTTGCAATTGAAAGATTTTTCTTAACACGTCTTGATTTTGTTTACAGATTATGATGTTTGATGGTGTTTTGATGGTTTGGGATAAGAGTTAGGCCCTGTTCACTTCACCTTAAAAAAAGTAAAACTAATTTCAATTTAGTAAAAATTAGTAATTGTAAAGAAGAAATATAATAGAAAATCATTAAAAATAATTCCAGTTCAGTAAAAATAATTTAAGTTCAAAAATAATTTTAGTTCAGTAAATATAATTTAAGTTCAACAAAAAAAAGGTGAAGTGATTCATAAAAAAAAAAAAGGTGAAGTGAACAAGACCTATTTTTTATTTATTTATTTATTTATTTATTTTTATTTTTTTGAAAGGAAGTGAACAAGACCTTAATTAGTTATTATCTGACAATAAAGTCATTGAGACACCAGACACAACACTAGACATTGGAAATTCTCTTTATTTAATTTTTTTACATAGATCCTTGCAATCTTGGTGTGAAAATCCTCAAAATTTTTGTGCTGATCTTTCGGAATGTCTAGGTAAGAGGGTGGTAATCGAGATCACGAGCAATATGTACTTGACTCCGTCAAAAGCTTGACTCAACTTGAGACCTTTGCAAGACGAGTTCAACAAGTTCCAACTCAACTTAGTAAGCTTGTTAGCAAGTCAATATTTATTTAATTAATTGTGGGACCACTATCAAATTTTCATTATTTCAAACAATGATTTTGAATGCAATTTGGTGCTTACTTTCAATTATAGTTGATACTCTGTATATGAATTACCCACTTAATTCCAAAATGTACATAAAATTAGATACATAGTAATATTAACCCCATCCGATTTGATTTGAAATATTTGACCTTAATTGGTGCTTATGTTTTCATGAATTCATGATACAATGTTTCGACTCAATAAAAAAATCAATGATAAGATATGTGCACAAGGACAAGGAATAAAAACACCTATATTTAGCAATTGAAGCTAGCGTCTTACCTTGTCTTAGGCCAAAGCAAAGGCAACACAAACCCAAGGCAATGCAAGGCCAAAACGAGGTAACAAAGATAAGATAAGATGATAAAGGGTAGATTAAGGCATGAATGACAAGATATCAGGTCCGTCTCTTGAGCGGTTTTTTCTGAGCCTCAGAACAGGGCCCCCAATATTTTGGGGCCCCAAAAAAATCACTGAATCTTAAAAAAAAAGGGTTAGTTTTCTCATAAATCCCGGCTGCAGTACTACTAATTCTCATGGATTTAATTGCTTCTAATTCTCTTTTTCCCCAAATACAATTATTTCTCTTAATTGAGATTCACATCTTCCCGTAGATTTATTTATTTATTTTCCTTTCCAGCTAGCAAGTAAGACCACTCTCAATGGTGAGCAAAAAAAATGCTCACCCATTCTCTCTCTACCCACTTTCTCTCTCAACAAATCAGTTTTGCTCATGGGCAATTTTTTTTCACATTTTCTCTCCCAATGGTGAGCAAAAAAAAATGCCCACCCACCACTCTCTCTCTTACTTTGTCAATACCCCACCATTACTTTCTCTCTCCTACACAACACTTCTTCATTTATTAATTTCATTTATATTTTAACAATATTACTCCAAATAAATAAAAACTAGGTTAAATTTGTGTAACTTATTTTTTTTTTATTTTTGTCTTTTTTATCGTTAAAATTTGTCGTAAAATTAAGTACGTTATATGAAATAATTGTAAAAAAAAGCTCAAAATTTCTTAAATGTTTTTATTTATTTTAAAAGCGGTACAATACTAGAAACCAATTACATTTGCAACGTCATGCGTAATTAAACTTAGGAAATAAAATAAACACAACAATTAAAAAATAACTCGACTGCGTACGGAAAAGTAGCTACGCCATAGTACTTGGCTTTATTTAAGTCGTGCTAATTTCTCCCTAATTACGTGGCCCGTATCGTTGCCAAATATGTTCGACTAAATCACGTTTTAGAGATAGATGAATTTCTCTGTCACGGAGGGAAGCTTTTCGCTGTAAAAATGCGTTGAAGTCAAAGTTGGTAGGTCGGCCTACGTTGAATTCAAACGGTGGCGTTGTAGATGTTGATGCTGGTGTTAATTCTTGTTGATCTTCTTCGTAGAAGGCTCTTAGAACTTCAGCTCGAGTGTAGTTGTGACGCTCATCTTCAACAATCATGTTGTGCATAATGATACATGCTTTCATTATGTCTCGCAGGATGTCCTCATCGTACGCCAGTGACGGTTTTCGTATTATTGCAAATCGAGCTTGCAAAATACCGAATGCTCTTTCAACGTCCTTTCGAGCAGCAGCCTGGTGGTCAGCGAACATTTTATCTTTCTGAAGTTGAGGGGTTGTGATACCCTGAACAAAAGTTGCCCACTTCGGATAAATACCGCCGGCTAAGTAATATGCCATGTTGTATTCATGGCCGTTAACGGTAAAATTTACTGGAGGAGCTCGACCATGCAGAACCTCATCGAACATTGGGGAACGATATAAGACATTAAGGTCATTACAAGATCCAGGAATACCAAAGAAGGAATGCCATATCCATAAATCCTGATCTGCAACGGCTTCCAGTATTAGCATTGCTTTTTTGTTCCTACCGGCGTACTGCGCTTTCCAAGCCGTTGGATAGTTCTTCCATTCCCAATGCATGCAATCAATGTTTCCTATCATGCCTGGAAAACCACGCAGTTCATTTTGATGCAGTATTCTGGCCAATTCATCAGTTGTAGGGTTTCGCATGTACTCGGTTCCGAACTGATCAATGACCCCGGTACAAAAACGTTGAAGGGCAACTCGAGCGGTTGACTCACTGATTCGAACGTATTCATCCACGGCGTCCGCAGCCATGCCGTAGCCTAACATTCTTATCGCCGCTGTACATTTTTGCAGAGGTGATAAACCTAACCTTCCAGCTGCATCCCTACGCTGCTGGAAGTAAACATCACCTTCAACGACCTTGTTCATTATACGTACAAACAAAGGTCGTTGCATACGAAATCTTCTTCTAAATTGGGTGGTGTTGTACACAGGATTATCGGAAAAGTAATCATTAAACAACCTGACATGTCCAATTTCCCTATCTCTTCTATTCGTACCCCCTCTAGGTTTTTTTGAAGTGTGTTGGGATTGTGTTTGGGGCATGAGGACAAATGGGGGTTGGTATGTGAAGAGTTCATCAACAAGTTGATCATATTCTTCAGTATTTGAAGAAGATGAGCTTGAACTTGAGCTTGATGATGGTCTAGAATACATCACGTATTAATATTGTTACTTGATGAATTGGTGTGGTTGTGGATATGTGCCATGCCTACTATATATAGCAAAAATATCAAATGAATATGTGGTTACAAATCTAAATGACCACACCAAGTACATGAATCAAATTTTCAACCACAGAATAGGTATACTATGCTAGTTGACAGTGACAAATCTTGAGTGCAATAATGTCGGTATCAATGACACAAAGGTAAAGCATTCTGATAAAGTGAATATAGGAAAACGTGGCTATACAATGACAAAGATTTATTGTAATTATGTCGGTATCAATGACACAAAGTTAAAGCATTCTGATAAAGTGAAATCAGAAAAATGTGACTACACAATGACAAAGATTTAAAGCAATTATGTCGGTATGAATGGCAACTTAAATCAACTTGTTAAACAACTTGTCATTCAATATTGGAAAATCAGAATACAAGTGTACATCTTACATTGAAATTAACCACACCACTAATACAACTTAAAAATAAAAGACTAAATTGCGCTTAATAAATAACTTATCTAATACAAGCGTAGACCTACTACAACCAAACATGCTTAAAAGCCTTGTAATTTACCCAGTAAAAAATTCTTGTACGACTCTTCTTCAGGAGTGAGTGGCGTAGGCAAATTCTTCAGAGCTTGCACCATATCAAACCAGGTTTTCATCTTATGAATGTCAAGTTCCTCCCTTTTCCTCTGTTCCTTGTCCTTTTCAATTTTGATCCTCCCTTCCTTCAGAATGGCCTCCCTCTCGCGAATTGTAGCGAATTCCTTCATTCGTTCGCTAAGCTCAGACGAACCACTTTCTGTTGCTACTGCTTTCCCTTTACGCTTTGCCTTTGCTTTCTTGACACCCTCGGGTCGTTGTAAACCGCCAGATGAAAAACCATCCGTAGGGGTTTCATCCCCTACATCATCTCTGGACCTCTTCCCACTTCCAGCACTACCTTGCTCCTCAGCATCACAAGCGGCTTTTCTTTCCTTCAATGACATTGACCATCTCTGCTTTGGCCTCCACTTTGGATCCTTATTAAGCATTTCAATTGCGTGAGGAAAAGTGAAATTGCGACCTTGGGCGACATGAAAAAGCTTCGCCGCACTTTTCATACGATCAGCTTCATTGTAACCACTCCCTCCCTCCGGAAGTCTACCTGCTTCATCATAGCAGATATCCACTACAGTGTGTCCGCTGCCAACCTTCTCCAGTGCGACGTCAGACTCTTAATAGGTCTTGGCGGAATTATATGCGGCTTCTGCGTATGCAAAGTTTGATATGCTGCGTGTACATTGCGCCATAGGCTAGTTGCTTTTTGGCTTGTACTTTTAATAGCATCCTCGCTAATCTGCAAGTACAACCCAATTAGAGCTTCATCTTCCGCAACAGACCAAATACGGGTCGCTCGTGCAGGAACCTGGTTGGGTTCCAGTATGCGAACTGGTGGAGGATACTGCGGCGTCTCTGATACGCTTTCCTCTTCGCTCTCATCGAAGAGTGTGTTACTATCAAGATCAGTTTCAGGTGTACGATCTTCATTAGCAGGGTTTTGTAGGGGAACCTCAGTGGGTGTCTGATGCAGTGGAGGTGGTTGCGAAGACATATTGCCCATTCTTTGCAATAACAATTGAAACTCGGGATTAGTTAGGAAATCATCACTAAAACCCGAAAATTGTTGACGGAAATTTGGGTTGTTTGGATCCATTAAAAGATTCTGCATCAAAAAACAAAAGATAAATATCGTTACAAACATTTACTCAAAAAACAAATTAAAATGACAACAAATCCAAAAAAATATCAACAACTTTCTTTAATTGCATAATGCAATTACATTACATGCCATACAATATTTTTTTTTTCTCACAAAATAACATATATACTAATTTTAACACATAACTACATGTACATATTAAAAAAAATAATTAACCAATAATTGCAACACTTTAAGAACTATAAATTTATAAATTTATTGAGAAAATATACACAACTTTGTTTAATTACATAATGCAATATAATTTCATGGCCTATAATATTGATTTTTTTTTCAAAAAATCACATATATACTAATTTTATTACGTAACTACATTTATATATAGCAAAAAAAATTAACCAATAATTGCAACACTTTAATAACTACAAATTTAGTAATTTATGGAGAAAATATACACAACTTTGTTTAATTGCATAATGCAATTTAATTTCGTGGCCTATAATTTTTTTTTCCATAAAATCACATATATACTAATTTTATTACGTAACTACATTTATATATAGCAAAAAAAATTAACCAATAATTGCAACACTTTAATAACTACAAATTTAGAAATTTATGGAGAAAATATACACAACTTTGTTTAATTACATATTGCAATATAATTACATGGCCTACAATTTTATTTTATTTTAAAAAAATCACATATATACTAATTATATTATATAATTGATTTTAAAAATTAAATTTTTTTTTTACCTGAATATGGCTGAATTGCAACAACAATATTCTTCTACAAATTTAAAATACTTTAAAGAAAATTTTAAAATGTGGAGGATTTAAAGTGTTTACGAAATTATATCAAAATGCATGTCTATTTATAGAGAATTTAATTTTATGACAGTTGGTAATTTTTTTTTCTACAAAATATATTTTTCAGAAAATAGATTACAAATATATAACCGTTGTAAACGGCTATAATTTTCTGATTGGCTACTCCGCTGCACACACCACGCGTCAACTCCTCATTCGCTAACCCGCTGCACGCGTCAGAAGCTCTGAGATTTTTTTTTTTAAAATCTGCAACCTCAAAACGACGCGTTTTGAGGCGCGCCTTTGAGGCTGCTTCATCAAAACGCGTCGTTTTGATTGTGAGAGGTCCGAAATTTTTTTAGTGGGTCTGTCAGGTGTGGGGTCCACACAGGTTGCTGTTCATCAATAAAAATGCTCAAGTTTTGAGCTTTTTTGGTTTTGCTCATGGGCTTTTTTTTGGAATTCACCAATTTCTCACCATTGTGGTTGGTGATCATTTTTTTTGCTCACAAAAAATGCCCATGGGCAAAAAAAATGATCACCATTGCTAGAACTCTAAGAAATAACTATCCAATAATCTATGTCTTTCAAACTATACATTTCAACTTCTCAAACAATCTATCCAATATAATGGTGTTTAACAACCAATTTTTCTGATTTATACAAAGGCGAATAGGCATAAATAACCCACTCGTAGTAATTTTGTATTTTAATTAATCTCTCTAAACCTACTATTTCTCACACAATATAATTGGCTTAAGGGTAATGCTAAATATACTCTTGAAAATTGTATAAAATTAGGAATTTATGACAAAAACACGCGCAAATCAATGTAATTAGTGTTTATAATTTTATATTTACTAAATTTATACGGTTTTTTTAGTGTATATTTAATGCTTATATGTAGCCCTGAGGGTTGTGTATAACATTTTCCTTGTTTTAATCCACTACATAAGGGGGAAAATATACTAATGAAAGCAAACAAGTTCTTTAATTTAGACGTTGGTGATTCTCCAATCCATAATTAAAATCCAGGTTATAAATGTTTTCCTTTTGATGCTCTACTTTTGGTATTATTTCTGTTGGTTTTTCTACTATTGTAATTATCATTGTATTTAAAATGACAAGATGAGAATGAAATTTGTTACAATAGGGGGCCTAAATTTTCTACTTAGCAGTTAGCACAGGGCCTCTTAATCTCCGAGACGACCCTGTAACATATTGTAAGGCATGATGATAAAGGATGGAGCAAGGCATAAATGAGATGATTCCGGGCAGCAAGAAGACCTAGGCCCTTTGAAAACCGCTGAAAGACCTCGATTCATAATCTTGTTGGGTTAAAAAAATGTTTTATAAAAGCCAAATTCAAAAGTTATTATACATTTAACATTATACATGAAAGCCACCTCAATTTATCTAAGACAGGGCCGTCTCGGGAGATTAAGAGGCCCTGTGCTAAGTAGAAAATATTGGGGGCCCTGTTCTGAGGCTCAGAAAGAACCGCCCAAGAGACGGGCCTGATCTAAGAAACAAAGTTCGTTTATATAAGAGGGTTCAAATTGTATTATACGCTACATAATATAATCATTGAATTATCTATTACAATACTTGTTGTAAAGAAAGAAATTAACAAAAGCCTTAAATAGTTAAATACTTAAATCTAGTATATACTTAAATCTAGTATATAATTTTAATTGTAATTTATTTTATTTAAATTTTCAAATAATCAACCAAAACCTCAATACTTCGTATTATATTTTATACACTCTAAATCAACTAAATCTTATCACATACTTCATACGAAGTATTTGATTAATATTCTCTTAAACTAACTTCATTATCTTAAAATTTGTCTAACTAATTTAATGAGATTTTCCTTGTGTTTTTTTTGTTAAAGAAAAAGAGATTTTTGTTTTACGAGGGAAAGACTAAAATAGGCAGAGTAAAAGTGTGGAAGAAGTATTTCATATTTCATTGAACCTCCTTCATGAATAAGTTTCACGCATACTCAAAACATTAAGCCATACATGCATGTTTCAACAATCCACACAATCTCTACGTGATGATTTTAAATATTACAGAATCTCACTGCTATTACTAGTACTAGATTGCAGATTCTCAAACCCTAAATAATTTCCCCCTTTTTCTGCTTCAATGTCTGGTTACCTTCGAAAATCAAGATCCAAACAACAACAACAACAACAAGATGATGCAGCAGCATTGCGCAAGAATTCTGGCAATAATGGAGAGGAGCAGAAAGCATCCTCGAGTAGAAGGGTAACTAGGCGTAATAGTACGAACAAGGGGAAATCCGAAGAAGATGATGCAATTCGCAGTTATTTTGAAGAAGATGAAGATGATAAGAGCTCGAAACCGCGAAGGGGTGGTAGGAAATTGAAGGGTATTAAGTTTGTTGATAATGGTGTTGAAGAAGAAGGTGGGAGAAAGGGGAGGAAGAAAGTGGTTGAGAAATGCACACCAAGTGTTTGTGAAAATGTCGCTGAGAAAAGTGATCGGTTTTCTCGGGTTCAGAAAGGTAGGGAAGAAACTAGGAGTATGGATGGTAGGAGGGGACAGCGTAATTCTGTGCAAAAGTCGCTACACGAAGAGGACGAGGAAGATGATGATGATGATGAAGTGCCGAGGCATTGGAGGAAGCGAAGGGGTGGGAAGGGTCTTGAGGAGGTAAGAGATGTTGGAATGTCTAAGAAGAAGAAGATGATGAAGCAAAATGTGTCCTTTGAGTTTCAAAAAGAAGATATTGTAACTAGGGAGTTGAATAGAAAGACTAGAAGCCAAAAGAATGTAGAAGAAAGTGGCAAGAAAATCATAGTAGAGGTAAGTGAGGATGATGAAGATGAGGAAGAGAGAGAAGCCGAACTTGAGCTGCAGGATAGCCGAGAAAAGCAAGAAAGAAGAAAGTGCCCTGGTAGTAGTAAGGGAAAAGAAAGTTTGGAAGTTAATGTTGGTGATCATAAAGAAGAGTGTCATAGTAGTAAGAAAAGAAAAGGAGAGGAAGTTCCAAAGGATGATCAACAATGTGAGAGAATATTGAGGTGTGATTGTAGTGAGTGCAAGGGACGTAGAATGTGTTATCAACAAATTGTATCATATTTGTTTCCGGAGGCGGAGAACAAGGTTTCCTCCGAATCCAGAATATTCACATATAAAACTGCTCAAAACATAATCTCAGCAAAACCAAAAGAGATTCTCAGTAAGATTAACAAGGGAGAAGAAGATAAAGGTTCAGGTGGAGGAAAAGAGTTTGATATTGATTCGAGCATCTGCCCTCTTTGTCAGAAGAATGACAAGCAAAGAGTGGTTAGGTGCACCAAGTGTAAGACAAAATTGTGTTGCATCCCTCAGGATAGTATAGAAATCGATAGTGAGGTAGAGGATAAGGAAGAGGAGGAGGAAGGAGGAGGAGGAGGAAGAGGAGGAGGAGAAGAGGAGGAGGAGGAAGAAGAAGAAGAAGAGGAGAAGGAAGAAGTCATAGAGGAAGAAGTCGAACAGGAAGAGGAGGAAGAAGTCGATGAGGAAAAGGTGGAAGAAGAAGTTGAAGAGGGAGAGGAGGAAGAAGAAGAAGTCGAAGAGGAAGATGAAGAAAATGAAAATGTCCAAGGGAAAGAAATAGAAGAGATAGAAGTAGATGAAGAGGAAGAAGAAAAAGAAGAGACTCTGAGGAAGAATGAGGGCAGGAAGGGGATGGGCAAGAAGCCTGAAGATAGTATAGTTGAACCTAATGTAGAAGAAAGATCAGAGGGAAATGATGACAATATTAATATTAATAATATATATAGTGATTGTGAAGGAGAACAAGCAGAGGATATAATGAAGGATGAGGAATGATGTTCTAGAAATGACGGGAATTTATGGAGGTGTAGATTACGCAGGGTTGAAGATAACTCCATGTGTAAGAAACTTATTGCGAAGAAGAATAACAAGCAGAGGTTTCCTCTATATAATAAGAAGCCATGGGTTATGAAGCCTGCAGCTATGAAAGGGCTAGAGAATGGTACACTGGATGTTTGTAAAAATGGCACTGAGAACAAAGAGGTCGAGAAAGATACACATACTATTTTGGGGGGAAGGCTAACAAAGGCTAGCAAGAATGCCAAAGCTCCTATTCCAATCCAGGAGAAAAAACTAAAGCCACAGAATGTGTATGATGAAAATGTAATACTCCGTACTAGTTACCCCCCAACTAAAGCCACATACCTTTGTTAACGTGTTTTTGGTATTTTATTGTCAGGGGATCAAGATTGATTCGGATATGTGTCATCAGTGCCAAAGGAATGACAAGGGGAGAGTTGTGAGGTGCACTAAGTGCAAGACCAAACGGTTTTGCATTCCATGCATAGGAAATTGGTTTGTATTTCTAATTGATATAGTTGCAAATAGTTGCTGGTTACTCTTTCTTTGTTCTGTTTCTGTTTTGTAGTTTATGTATGTGTCAACCTAACGAGTGTTGCTTCCTAGTTAAAACTTTATTTGATTAGGATGTTTGGAGAGGTCCTCCAATTATGATGCAGTATGCATCACAAAATCTTAGCCAACGCAACGTTTATGATGTCTTTCCCAGTCACCCCACAAGTATAAAAAAGCTCAAGGCGTGATGAAGCGATAAGGGTTATGCAGCGCCTAGGTTATGTTGGTACTGTTTGCAGTTTTACCTGTTTGCGATAAGGGTTAGGCACCTAGGTTATGTTGGTACTGTTTGCAGTTTTACCTGTTTGCGACAAGGGTTATGAAGCGATAAGGGTTAGGCGTACTGTTTGCAGTTTTACCTGTTTGCAATTGCCTACCATCTGCTTGTTTAATTCTTATTTAATTCATGTAATTATTTTACTATCATTTCTGCCGAGCTTCCACTTCCGTGTTCTGGCTGTTTTCATGATGAGTGCTTTAATCAAGTTCCTAGTTAGATAAGTTAATATCAGTAGCAGGACTCTAGCTCAGTCTCCTGAGCTTGCTAAATTTCTGTAAGAAAAGATCCATGAAGAGTGGTGACTTTAGTATCCTTCAGTAATTTTCTTTTTGTATTCCTTCAATTTTCTAGGGCCTTGGATCCAGCACATGTTTCCCTTAATCCATTAGTTTCGAACAATTTTAATCACATATTCACATTTATCCTTGTTCCTTATGATGATTCATGTTAGCCCAAATCATTCTGGGACTAAGGGTTTCACATTTATCCTTGTTCCTTATGATGATTCATGTTAGCCCAAATCATTCTGGGACTAAGGGTTTGTTGTTGTTGTTATTCACATTTATCCTTGTTGGTTCCTTATCAAATATTCACTGTATTCTTGTTGATTCCTTAACAATGACCTATAATATTGGAGTGAAGTTGTATGTATTCTGTATTATATTTCACATGAATAGAGAATATTGGGGCAATTTCTGATGCTGGTTGTGTGAACCAGGTATCCACAAATGACAGAGGAGCATATTGTTCAGGCTTGCCCAGTCTGCCTACAAAACTGCAATTGTACATCATGCTTGCGGATGGAGGGACGTATGAAGGTGCCCTTTTCTGTCTTTACCTCTGAAAGGTTTAGGTTTACTGTTTAAAATTTTATCTAACATTTTTACGACTTCTACAGGCTCGGATGCGAGATTGTTTTGTAATTAGCAGAGAAAAATATATTAAGCATTCCAAGTATCTGTTGATGACTATACTGCCATTTCTTAAGCAATTGAATCAGGAGCAGATTATAGAAAAAGAAGTAGAGGCCAAATTACAGGGTACCTTCCCCCCTCCCCCACCCCCCACCCCTTTTTTTAAGATAGGCTTCATATCTTTTTTGGTTTGATATTTGCGTACATGTGCTTATGATTGCAAATGTTGATGCCATGTAATTGTATGGACAGTATCATATGAGAGTATTTGATGCACAAAGTATATGAGTACTTGACTATAGGGTTCATATTTGGAAATACACTGAAATTGTTTCTTTGCTGTTCTGTTTTCTGCCGCCGAAATTTAAAATGACCTGGCTACTTCTGTAAAGTGCCTGATTTTCTTCCTGTTGTATCCATGTACCTACCTTTGTCTAATATCAATATGTCTAGCAAACCACAAAGCTTTATCTTATTTAACAACGTGACTCTACGAAGATACATTGGTGACATTATCGATGATTGATTTTATTGTTGTAGGTGTATCAGCATCTGAAGTGGAAATCCAAACGGCATCTTACGAGAAATATGACTGTATATTCTGGTAAAATGTTTGCAAGCATTTTCATTCCTTCTTGATAATTTGTTAGCACTTTTCAATGCATGATATAGCTGTGTTGTTCAGTGACTACTGCAAAGCTTCAATTGTTGATTTCCACAGAAGCTGTCCAGAGTGTGCATATGATTTGTGTTTGACTTGCTGTCGGGAAGTTCGTGCTGGAAATCTGAAGTGCTGTGAAGATGTGGTAATAGAATATGTTAATAGGGGTTATGATTATGTATATGGTGGAAAATTTCTTGCTGAATCATGTAGTAAAATTAGAAGAAATAAAGTTAATGATCTATCAGAGAAAACTAGGGGCACAGGTGTGCCTGCTTGTTTAGAGACTACTTCTGAAAGTGAGTCTCCTGAGCTTCAACCTGACATAAATAAGGCTGAATGGAAAGGAAATGATAATGGTAGTTTAAGTTGTCCACCATCAAAATATAAGGGTTGTGGTGGTGCGCTTCTTGAATTAAAATCTATCTTGTCAGATGGTTGGGTTTCAAAATTGCTGAAGGAAGCGGAGCTAGCAGTTACAAACCTGGAAAATGACAAATTACCCCATACTTCAAATGGTTGCTCGTGTTCTGGTTCTGTGCATGGTGGTGAATTTGGAAGTAATTTGCGCAAATGCGCTGCAAGAGAAAGTGGGAATGACAATAATCTCTATTGTCCAGATGCCAGGGATATTCAACATGGAGATCTGGAACACTTTCAGTGGCATTGGGCCCTAGGAGAACCAATAATTGTCCGGAGTTCACTTGAGACTACCCCTGGGTTAAGTTGGGAACCTATGGGCATCTGGCGTGCTGTGCGTCAAATTCATAACAAAAAATACTCCAAGACATCAACGTTGTCGGATGTGAAAGCTATTGATTGCTTAAATTGGCTTGAGGTGATTGCTGTGCTTGCTGTTAGGAAAAATTATATTTAGCGTGATTGATTTAATTGGATGATGTCTATTTTTTTTTTTACATTAATACGTTGCCTTGCATTCTTCAATTTTTTCTTGCTAGTTGATGATCTTTCTCTATTTTTGTGACCTGTCTTTCATTTTTGGGTTTTGGTTTCTAGCTGTCGACATTATTGTTACCTGAATCCCTAATCTTCCACAAACTGTAAAAGGCGAATTATAACATGTAAGTGGTAATTTTGTCCCAATTTAACAAATTAGGTAGCCAAGTTGCAAACCTGTGTCTAATCTAACCGTAGTGAATTAGGTAACAATACTATAGATTGAAGGTTTTTATAGTTCTAATATTCATAGAAATATTGCACAGTACTTGTCTGAGAATAGTGTTTTTTTTTGAGGAAATTCCTTATTTTTTGTTTTTAGTTTGATGTTTTTGATTTAATACTCTTTTCATGTTATACGCTCATACTTTTGGTTTCATTTTTAGTTAGTTCTTCTCAATCACTTTTGAAATAAAATTAATTGTAGGTTGAAGCCAATCTTCACCAATTCTTCAAAGGGTATTCCAAGTGTCAATTTGATGAGCTCGAGTGGCCTGTGATGCTGAAGTTAAAAGGTTCGCTACATACTAGTAGATTTGAGAAACAATTGCCACGCCATGGTGCTGAATTTATTCGTGCATTACCATTTAAAGAGTACACACATCCACGGAAAGGAGTATTGAATCTAGCTAACAAATTTCCCAAGAGAACTTTGATGCCAAATATGGGGCCAAAGACCTACATAGCTTATGGATATGTTGAAGAATTGGGTCGTGGAGACTCTGTTACAAAGCTTCATTGTGATATGTCTGATGTGGTATGATAGACTTTCTACATTTGTGAATGTCTTCGCTTCCTTGTCAGTGTCATTCTTACTTGTCCAACTTGGTTATTTTGTTGTCTGTATGGGCTAGCAGGTTCTTAAGTTTCGAGTTGAAGAGTCAAGAGTCTGTAATAGTTGTCTTATGAATATCAGCTTTCCTTCCTCATCCCCTTTGTATTTTCCCTTGACATTGATTTAATTTTTATCTATCAAGCTTAAATAAAAATCTGATATGCTAATGTAGATTTCATGAAACTGAGTTTTTCCCATGCTCAAATCTCTTACTTCCTCCATGTTTTTTTATTTGCAACAGTTTTGACTTTCGCAGTGTTCATATGATCTACTTTGACTAGCTTGGATGATTAATAACTATGCAAAAATATAATCATGTGGGATCTTGTTTATAATTTCTAAAGTATCAAATGTTTGTAATATTTGATAGTGGTAATTAAAGATATTAGCGATCAAAATAATGCATCCGGAAGCATGAAAAGATATGTGTTGCAAGTATATTACAGAGGAAGTATATTACAGTTGTGCAAGCTCTGTCCATGAGCAAATAACTTTCTCTGTTTTAGAGCTGATATTTTCTTTCAATTGAGGCTGGTGGCTTTTGAAAGAAAGCTTTAAATTTTCAGGGGAATAGGGTTTTAGTTACTACTGAACATGTCTTGTTTGAGGAGTCTTGAGTTTGTACTTAATGCAAATTATGTTTTATAGGTAAATATTTTGGTACATACTGCTGAAGTTGCCGTGCCTATCCAAAAATGTAAGGGTATTTCTAAATTAAAAGGGCAACATTTTGCTCAGGACCAAGAAGAAATCTTTGGTGTTGAAGCCAAAGACATTGAGAGGGTTGATGGGTCTGAGATAAAGAAACTTCATGATGATAGCAGGGTGGTAGAAGGTTCAGAACTTCCTATTAGAGGTGCTCTTTGGGACATTTTTCGGAGAGAAGATGTTCCTAAGCTACAAGAATATTTGAGGAGACATTATCAGGAATTCAGACATATTCATTGTAATCCATTGAAGCAGGTAGTATTTTGGTGTATTATAAATTTAACAAGTTTGCATGTGTTTTATCTATCATAAGATACTAGGAAAAAGGTAGAAAGCTTTGCATGTCTGGAGCAGAAATATAATCGATGTGCACTTTTTTTTTTTTTATCTGCCTCCTTCAATTACCTACTTATTGTAATTACTGTAAAAAAAAGTTATTTTAAGCTGTTAGAACAATTGTTATGTCATCTGAGGATCATTCTTGATGTATTATGTTTAAGCTTCATTGTTTAGCTGTTTCTTGCAATGAATAGGTTATTCATCCTATACATGATCAGACATTTTACCTTACTGAGGAGCATAAAAGGAAGCTGAAGGAAGAATATGGTAAAAGCTCTCAATATTTGCATGTGATGTATCTCTTTGTCGCTGTTCACTCAGTCTGGAATTTTCCACTATCTGTGTGTAGATCACTTAGTGCCTGCTCAATTTGGTCTGATTTTTCTATATTTACATGTGCTGTCTCTCATTGTAGGAATTGAGGCATGGACATTTGTTCAAAATCTTGGAGAAGCAGTCTTTATTCCAGCTGGCTGTCCTCATCAAGTTAGAAATCTGAAGGTAGTGTAGCTTGTCTCAGGCTAGGTTATTTTTCGAATGGATCTATATTTAGTACCTCCGTTTTTTTTTAATGTTTGACTCGCTAAAGATAATCTAAGAAAACTTTGGAAAAGATGATTGAGTGTAACAAAAAGTAAGAGAGAGGGTGTGAAGGTGGGTGTAAAAGAGAGTGTTAAAAGGTGGGTGGCTGTAAGATAAGTAAGGAGAGTGTAGAACAGTGTAAATATTGTGGGGATAAGAGGTATGGTGGTAAAGAACTAAAGATAGTATGCCAAAGATAGAATAAATGAGAAAATATTGAGAAAATGATAGATCTAGCATTTTTTACATGTATATATCTTTTTTTAGGCATTGGTCATTTGATGCTAACCTCTATGGTTTTGATGAGTATTTCCTTAATGTTTACATCATATAATTTGCTGAATTTATTGTTCAGTCATGTATAAAAGTCGCACTTGATTTTGTGTCCCCCGAAAATGTTGGTGAGTGCATCCGCCTGGCTGGAGAGCTCCGAATTCTGCCTCAAAATCACATGGCTAAGGTGGATAAGTTGGAGGTATGTCTGCTGCAGTTTGTGGTGTATTTTAAGTGCTTTTGTAACTTTAGGTTGCACCAATTACCAATTAAAGAATACTCCCTCCGTATTTTATTACTTGCTCTACTTTCCTTTTGTGGCCGTATTTTATTACTTGCTCCATTTCTTTTTTTGGAAACTTTAAACAATATTTTACTATTTTCTTCCACACTAGTGGTCCCCGCATATCATATTTTAATATTTATCATATTCTCTCTCCTCCCCAATTGTACTCCCTTTTGCTTTTTTTAGATTTTTCTATTACTAAACCAACCCCACTACCATCATATTTTATCATTTTTCACTAAAACTCCGCACATGGAGAAATGGAGTAAGTAAAAAAAAATACAGAGGGAGTACTGTTCAACTTGCTAGAAAGTTTTAATTTCTTCTTGATGCAGGTGAAGAAAATGATTCTTTATGCTGTAAAGAAGGCTATTAGTAGCTTGAAGTAAGTCATTCTTAGTTAATTGGATTATTGTTCTTATAAATGACTGAATGTGTTCTGTTTTTTGGGGATTATAGACAAAGCACTGTCAATCTCTGCCATCTCTACACCTGACTCCAGAAACATTGTTTTGTAAGCATATATGACTCCAAGTACTAAAACATAATAACTTTTTAATCATTAGGATAAACATCTCTTTGTGCCTAGGAAATTATGCTACTCGCTCTAATTTTTAAAAGTGTTACACTTTGACTAGCACATAGTTTAGGCAATTTAATTGGCTTTAATATAGTAAGAGGTAAGTGGGGTAGTTACAGCATTTAAAGAGTTAAAGAATAAGATAGTGGCTTTAAGAATTGAAAAGTAAGAGATGTGAGAGGGAAAGAATTAATAAAATAAGTAATTGTGGGTTTAAATGGAGATCATGGGAGGAGAGAGATATAATATTGAAATGTAGTTGTTTGCCAAAATTGAAAGTGTTAACACTTGAAAAAAAAAAAAAGACTGCATTTTATTAGTGTTAACACTTAATTACAAAAAAAAAAAAAAAAAAAAAAAAAAAAAACGAGGGGATCTTTCTGTTTTAGACATGTGATGTGGTATCTATTTGAAGTGCTTTCTTTATTAACACCCCCCCCCCCCCCCCCCGAAAAAAAAAACAAAACCGAAGGAGTAGCAAATACCTTTTCTACTGGTATATAGGGTAAACTTCTGTTCAGACGTTTTGCCATCTTTGTTTTTGACATGTAATGTGGTATATGAACTGCTTTCTGCATGTACCTTTATGGCTTTATATCCCCCTCCCCCAGTTTTTATTGTTTAACTGGACTGCAGTTGGAGAACTGATGTATTTGGCGGTGTCTGACTCTTCAGGCCTGAAGAACAAAACGATTGGTCAGACACTTCTTCAGATACTGAACCTGAGCCCGCCTGAGTCAGATTCAGATGACTAGTAACTTTATAAACAGATCTGCATTTAAAGGGTATTTTCTGGTTAGTCACCTAAAAAGGCTTCTGTTCTGTAGTATAAATATCATATGCTGATGAAATATTTGAGCACAGTCTAACTGTGTAAGTTAACCCTGCCCAAGATTGGGGCATTATGTGAAACTGATAGTACATATCTAACCTCATAAAGGTGGGGAAATTATCACTTTGTTCTTTTATGTCATTACTAATATTGGGAGCAGAAGCTTAATCTAATGTTATTCTTTTCACTCGAACTCCTTTTCAGTCAAAGATATATTAGCTGTGCTTGATTCACTAACAATCTCATTTCCCTTCTCCTCTAAAAGCCCTAGCCTTGTGAAGAAGTGCACGTGCTTGCCGTACTTTACAAATATACATACCTCTATTTTTTAAAAATGTTTTGTTGGTTGATTTTTAGGGCTTACGAAGGCTTTTCTATGCTCTACATCTTGATTGTTTAGTAGACACAATTAATATGGGTATATATGAAGTAGATTGGTTAAATTACAAGGGCCGTTTAAATTAAATCTAGGAGTATCTAGTTTGTAAAAACTAAAAAGTTCCATACACAGTTTTTTTGTAAAAAAATTGACTCATGAAAGTATGATTGCATCAATAGAGAAAAAAAATATATCAATAGAGTTCCTTTGCTTAGTTTTGGTCTTTATAGGATAGGTTGACTAACATATATTCCCGCTGTTCTTTTTTAAATTGTAATTCACATTTGGCAATGCTGCCTTAATAGACCTATTATTAGGCCTCTTATGGTTCTAAATCAGCTAGTCTAGCCCTAGGATATCCCATGCATTCAATTCAATTTTTGAGAAATTTTTCCAAAATTGGCCAAGAGGTGTGGATTATGGCCTATAATTTTGAACAATTCTAGACTTTTTTAGACGTGCTAAGGAAACAAGTTGGGATGCTTCCCACCTTGATACACTTTGGGAGGGTATATATTTGGATGGTTGAAATTGTCCACTTTGCAGTTAAACTGTCAATCTACTTGTTTACAACTTACATCAAAGCTAAGCATGAATTATAGCCTTTGGCTTTGGACAATTTTGGATTATTTCTAACAGGAAAAGAATGATGTCATGGCATTTCCCACACAACACCCGGGAGGCCATTTGAGTCGTCGTTGAACTATCCACTTTACCTTTAAAGTTGGCCAAATTTGATATAATTATGAAAATATCATGCAGACTAGACATATTTGTTGATTTATTTACAATTTTGCAATTTGATAAAGAAAAACGTGATAAACTAGAAATTCCTCGTAAAATATTACACAAATGCCATAGAATTAATGATTTTTGTTTATGCTTGTGGTTTACTGGGGCGTGCTTTTTTTTTTTTTTTCGCTGCATATTAATTGATTTACTCGTTGCTTGCTGGAACCATCTAACAACACGATATCATTAATGTTTTACATATCTTACATTGCTTGTTAATAAAAGTAAAGAAAGCTAAACATTTCTAAATACACAATTGGATGAATTTAATTTGATCCTACACAATAATGATATATCTTACTAGAGTATAATATAGACCAAACAAAACCAGTTCTTCGAAAATTGTCAATTGAGAACAGAATACATAAACATCAATAGAATGCCAATAGTAAATATGATCATTTTGGCAGTAGAACAGTACATTAACAATCCCAAATTGTCATTCCACTTTAATAATTGTATTCTGAGAATTTTCAGCTTGTTCGAAGTAATTAAGCATCAATGGTCAGTAAAAGAGTGATCTATAAAGACTGAAACTCATCCATAACTAGCAACAACCACTATTTGATAATGCTGCTACAAAATTGCATGTGAGCTACATGAAGAAGTGAAGAACTAACGGAATGCTTTCACTTCTTCGCCAAAATGGTTAAGTAGATCCTCCAGGGACATTGGCGAATGATCGTTCTTATCTCTTACCCTAACAGTCACCTGTATACAACAGGGTATAAGACAACCACCCCAAAAGGTAGATAATATCAATTCCAGACAGATGATATAACAGCACATAACATATGTACAAATACTTCAACCACGCAGTGCTCAATATATCAGTAACATAAGCTAGTCCTTCACAATCTCAATGGAAATGGAAAGTATTATCAGAAGGTAGAGGGTTAGGGAAAGGGTGCAATTTTGGGAAACTGAGATTGAATATGAAGCCAAAAAGTTTATAAATATAGCCAAATGCAACTTTGAAATATACCAAAAAGTGAAAAAAAGGTAAGTTTAAGCATAAGACGTACCACTCGGTTTTCGGCATCTTTCTCCCCAACTACCAGTATGTAGTTATACTGTGACATCTGAGCTTCTCGTACCTGCAGGGCCCAAAAATTACAGGCACACATACACATCATATATATACATGAACACACAACATATCATATATATAAGATTATTTCCTAGTGTGACAAAAAAAAACAGGCACCAACTACATTAGAAGACGCTCCATAGGAAAAACTGTGTACCTTTTTATTGATGGTTTTATCACTTGTATCTACATCAACATGATATCCAGCCTGGTGGATGTGGTCGCGCACCTAAAACATGTTAAGGTGCTATTTAGAAAATAACCATACACACTTCAAGCACTAAGCAGACTGAGTTAAATATTTAGATTCGGGGCTGCAGGGCATTCCTACTAATGCATAGTAATAAGTGATGCCGTCAAACAATCCAAATAAGCACCTAAAGATTACACAACGGTGACGGTCATTGTATGACCTCCAATACCTCATGGGCATAAGCTGAAGATTTTTCTGAGACAGTGCATACAATCGCTTGACGTGGACTTAGCCAAAAAGGCCATTTACCCTTAAAGTGCTCCAGAAGAATTGCAAACATACGTTCCACAGAGCCAAGGATGGCTCTATGGATGATTACAGGTCGCTCCCTTTTAGCTTCATCTTCTGCTGAGTAGGACAGATTAAATCGCGACGGAAGTTGAAAATCCAACTGCAATTAGATTCATATTGTCAGAAAATTCCATGCCAAATACCAGTCTTCTAAATCAATCTGGAAGCAAAGCACAACCAACCTGCAAAGTTGCACACTGGAATTTCCTCTTTAAAGCATCAGAAACACTGATATCTATCTTTGGTCCGTAAAATGCACCATCTCCTTCATTTAGCTGTACCATATGATTCAGGAACAAAAATTTATTAATAGAAACATGAAGGCTCATGTTGTAATGGAATTAACAGAGAAAATGCAAGCCCTTCAAACCACAAAATACAGCACATTCTACCTTTACCGTCATCCATCCTTCTCATGACAACAGGTATTCTATATCTTAAGTGGAATATAAGGTACAAGCATCACCACAAAAGCAGCCTCTCTCAGGAAACCTCATACGCTAAAGCAATCATACACATCAGATCATGTTTACTATAAGATCTTTCACTCTACATCAGCCATAAGATGCTAGTATGATACCATGGTACATTGGTACAAGATCATACAGAATACAAATTCCATACAGCCCTAATATCTGTTGATTTTCTCTATGAGGTGGAGGATGGATGAGAGTAGTGTTTTGCACTGAGGCATTCAATATGTCAAAAGTTCAGGATATCCATTCAAGCCAAAAAAGGGGCAGTGATACTAGTATAAGTTGCAAATGTGATGGTTGTAAAAAGAAGAGGCATGCAAGATTTACATTTTAAGATAGCTAATATTTGTTGAAAGAAATTAGATGTAACGGAGCAAAAAGCAATGTAAACTCAGACACAGGTATGAGTAAATCTTCAAGCATAAGACATCTTAGGGTTGAAAATTTTAAGCATAGGGACAGGCCTAATATTGGACACGGGTGCAAAGAGTTCTTGTTTATATGAGGCCTTTGTACTTTACAAACAACAAACATACAAAGATTTCAAATTTAATTATTTCTTAATTTTATGTATTTGCTAACGTAAATCTCACACAAATTTAAAACTGTTGCATAATTATCACTTCTTCTCCTCTGGTATATTTATTTAACTATAATGAGTGTTTCAAGATAAACACAGTAGCTAATTATTAATTGAAGAGTTGGGTAAGGATACCAAGTAATCATAGACAGCTACGTGAGACAAAATGATGAGGTGAAGTAACATAAATAAATGCTTTGCTTGCAACATTGCTTGACAAAGTGTATTAAAGCCAGCCATATTAGGAATATGACTAATTACAACTCCACTCCAAGATAGCACAGTACAAACATTGAGCTTGAAAATGCCACTTACATAGTTACAAATTAAAAGAAGAAAAAAAAGGGACCAAAATTTCTCAAGTTTTGTAACATCTACCACTCAAAGAAGTTTCACAAATATACCATTTCCCTTTCAGGAAACTAATATCTTTGCTCACAATACAATTGTCCAATATACCAACACTGACATTTCCTACGTTCCTTAACCACCTTGGATTTTGTGGAAGATTTAAATGACTATTTTGGTCCTTTCATGTTGCAATATTTTGGGCATCATTTCAAAATGGATCAAAATTTCTCAATTCATTCAAAACTTTATCATTTCAGCTACAAAGCAATAGCTCTAATCTGGGAAAACAAACTCTAATTTGTAAACTTCATTGGTTGTAAATTTTGTAATCAGTTCTGAAAGACTGTTGCCAGATATATGGTCATTTCTGGCACCAGGGCAGGTCAAGCGTTTATAGGGAAATTCTCTATATCTTTCTTCAATCTGCGTTTCTCAATCTTCCTGTCATAGAAATTCAACTTTGATCTTTTCATCATATCTTCTTCTCCGATCTGGGAGTTTCAGCAATCTCTTAACTCTGACGGGCATATATTTCTGTACAACATTTCTACTAGTTTTTCATCCTCTTGTTTTATTTTAAGCTTAATTAGGTATCCCCAGTTCCCCACTTCTCATTAGTCAAGTGACCTCCTGCTCCCTATCTGGTTTCTCTAAAGGCTAATAGGAGTGCTAGCATAAATTTAACCACATGTAAACTATTGATAAACCAAATAATTAAAAAAAAAAAATTATCTACAGTAGCCAAAAAAAAAAACAAAAAAGGTTATCCTCATTGGTAGCTCCATGTTATTTCTTTTTCACTAATTGTCGCATTAGTAGGGGTTTTTATGATTACATGAGAGTATGAGACCAACTACCATATCTTATTCATGGAATTAATGGTGTGTTTGGAACTTTGGATAGAGAAAGGGGAAGGAAAAGAAGTGGAGGGAAGGGAAGAAAGATGAGTTTTCCTTCCAAATCTCTCCATTGTTAGAGGGATGAATTTCGTACAATTTAATCCCTCCAAGCTCCCCCCCCCCTCCCCTACAATTCCCTCCCTTCCTCGTTTGTTATCCAAATCAAGGATAATATATCCCTCCATTTCCCTTCCCTTCTTTTCCATCCAAACAAAGTGTAAAACTCAGCCATTGCATTACAAATAGGCCATTTTTGTAACAGATTCATGATTTTGGACTTGACATCCCGCGAAGCCTTGTTACATAATGCCACATCTTTTTCCCCATGTCATTCGCTATAGATTTGGTAATAGTAAAGAAAATTTTATAAACTTAAGAAATGTAAACAAATTTTAACACCATTAATATGATTTTTTTTGTAAAAACTGACCGCAACAGCCGTTAATTGTTACCCATAATTGTGACCATACTCTCGATTTTTTTCTATGGTCCCAATGCAAGAAATATTACAAGTTGAGTTGATACTATACAATGCAAAACAACTAGTTCTACAACAGATAAAACAGATCCCATATTCCTTTCCTTTTTCTTTGAATTTGGGGGAAAGGGATTAGGAAAAAAAAGGGAATAACTGAAAAGGTGAAAATTTACCTGCCATGGCTTTCCAAACTCATTCAAAGCTTCAGTAAGTGCAGCCTCAGCCTTATCCCAAGTCTCCTTTTCTCCTAGGAAACTCTCTGGTCTCTGTATTTTATAGAGAAAAAAAAAAGGAAAAACATGAAAATTATACATTGCATTTAACTAATCAAGCAAAGGATACAAAGAAAATTAAATGATAATGTAAAACTGAAGTAAGCATCATATCAATCAACTTAAGGGGATACGATTCATGCAACTTAGGTATGAGGTATGGATTTAGAATAGTTAAAACCCATGCCAAGTATTTGGTTTAGGATTTCAAGAATTTTAAACCCATAAGCCATACCTCAAACCCCAAAGGTAGGGTTTAGAAACCTTGTGGGGGGGGGGGGGGGGAGTTGAGTTTGGCTCATACCTATACTTTTAGGTATCAAACATATTGTATAAAAAATCAAGTTCCAAACCCATACCATTATGGTTTCATTTTTCAATCCAACCCCATACCATTTTCCCCTAAATAATTTTCATTGTCAACGTAAACATGCACATCATAAAGTACAATGTGGTATTAATATACTCTTGAATTCAACAAAGATGGAGAGTTCAAATGTTGTGTATTCTTTAAGCTCTCTAATAGACTAAGTCACACTTGGTAATCTAATGCACTCAAAGTGTAACTGGGGGTGTTTGGTTCGCATAGTGGTATGAGTTTGGAATGATAAATGAGCCTAGGATGGGTGTTTGGTTCGCATAGTGGTATGAGTTTGGAATGATAAATGATACTAGGATAGTCTAGAGTTTAAACTTGGTTCGTTATAGTATGTGCTTGCAGTGTTTAAGAACAAATAGTTCTCTTTCATTTTATACTAAAAGGTTTGGTATGAGTCATACCAACCAGGTTTCTAAACCCTATGACTTGTGGGTTTGAGCTATGGGTTCAAAAGTTGAATGATTCTTAAGCTAATAATAGGTATGGGTTTTGCCAATTATAAATCCATACCTCATACCAAAATTCCACAAATCAACCCAATTTAGAAGGCCAACCTTTCTTGTTAAAATGCCAGCAAGATATATGACTAAATTAGAGCTAGTAAAACCAAGATCACAAATTTTCCTCTAAATGACTAGCAAAAGTCTGGTTTCCCAAACAAACATAAGCCCAAACATCCTATTGCATGAAATCATGAGAAGGTTTCACTACTTAAAAGTAAAAGAATAAGCATAGGGATAAAAACATATAAAAAGAAAATCGTATGGGTAAAGGAGCTAATCAATAAGTCTTTGAGAGGAAAACAGTAAATCAGGGGATAGTTATCATACTCCAAGTTTCATTTCCAGAACTCCCCAACTCTCATTAAAGGAAACAGTTATCTTCCACATCAAAAACAGATTCTAAAGACTCTAAATGTAAGCCAGATGGAAAGAAGTAGATCCTATACGCACTTTAACATTTAGGTTCCATTTTGTGTGTAGGTCAGAATAATCAATTCTAGGAACTGAGGCAATGAACCTCAAAGCCTCCCCTCTATGTCTAGCCATGCCTGCTAAAACTAACATTTAGGTTCCCTTTTGTGTGTAGGTCAGAATAATCAATTCTAGGAACTGAGGCAATGAACCTCAAAGCCTCCCCTCTATGTCTAGCCATGCCTGCTAAAACAGTATTCACAAGACACAAATATAGCATCCAAAAAGGTTGTAGATGTGCTCCCTGTAATGTCTGGATTGAATTTCCAACACAAGTTATAGGCTAAATTACGAAACTATGTCATGCTGATGAGATATGAAAGCCTTAAAGATGAAAAGAATGAAACCTCCAACAATAATCACTATAAAGCTACTTTCCGAGTTTAGTCTTCAAGGGTAAATACCTAGAATAAGTGTGTAATGTGAGAAACCCTCAAAACTTCTCCAGCTTTCACAATAATGAATTATTCATCTTTAAATAAGCAGCTGAATATCATCACATCATTTAACCTAACTTTAAAAACCTCCATCTATCATGTGATAAATTTGTTGTGGATATCAGCCACAAAAGTTTTTCAAAAAAAAATAAAAATAAATAGTTCAACAGGTCACGAGAAGAAAAAGAAGAATGTATCAAAATGCACCTTCTTTGTAACAGGATACATTAATTGAGAACGGAACTTATAAAAAATTTTACACAGCAAACAGGGATCGTGGCATCAGAGTTTATCTACACCAAAACACTTGGTAGTTATTTAACTCAGATGGTAAAATCATCTTGAGGCTTCCAACAAGTAGAATCAATTATATACACAAAAGGCTATATATACTTAAAGGTCTCGGACAAATATAGCAGTTCTAAGGGATCAACATCAGCAACCAATAAATATCAGATAATCATGGAAATCGGTTTGCTCCTGAAGTTCAAAACTATCCTATCTTTCAAATTAACAAGCATTTTCACAACATAACTCTCCATCTATTTATTCAAAATCAACACACCTTACACAGCTAAGTTAGAATAAGTCAAACAAATATTAAAGCTAAATTGCTCCCCACAGCTGAAACCCCAGCCCGACCTCTTCTTTACCTTCCAGAATCTGGCAAATTGACAAAAGGTCTATATAACAACGTAAAGCTGAAAAATGACCAGACATCACATAAAAACAAAAATCAAGAGAATTGAAACATAAATTCATCTTACAAACATTGTTACATAATACATATATACTAATGCTGACTACAGAAATTACTAAAAAGAAAATCAGAAAATTATCATACGGTTGAAAGTTTTAGCTCGAAGGTAAACCCGAATTTTCCATACACGTAGTTAATAAAATCCAGTGCAGCCCTGACTTCATCCTTCACCTGAACGTATACAAACACAAGATCTTATTTGGCACATGCAAAAGTAACAGAATTCAATTTACAACCATCAGCAGATCCAACTTACTTGGCCTTCCCTGCAGAAGATATGAGCATCATCCTGAAACAGTTGGGATCTAAATATTAGGAGAACCAGATCAATTGAACCACATGAATTGCAAAAGATTCAGGGATCAAAACAATGGCAACATGACGGCTTTGCAAAACCATCACGCTTAGCAACTTGCAAAGAAGAATTGTTATACCCTATAATATACAACTATACAGTCAAGTGATGAAACCAATGCTCACAATTCATTGGATCACAACTAGACATCATATACGATTCACTGGGCCACATTTGGGAGCTCCAGCTTTTTATTTCCACATTCTTCTTGGTTAAGATTATTTTTTTTGGCTTAATCCCCTTCATCAGAGAGATCTTCCAACGAGGAATTCAAATTACTTCACCCCAACACGACAAAGTTGTAGAATATCATTCATTTTACAGTATCGTACCTGCTGGAATCTCCTAACACGAGTCAATCCAGTGAGAGCACCACTAGCCTCATTCCTGTGAAGCACCCCAAAATCAGCAAAGCGGAGAGGGAGTTCTGCATATGGTCAAAATTGTTAGGTGGAGTTCTGAATCAGAAGTTGCAAGATGATACTACGACCAGAACCGAAATTTTTGTAAGAAGCAGGAAGTTCTTTATTCAAATCACCAAGGAAAAGATTATGCAATATAAAACTACAATACAAATGCAGTATATTTCTCACAATTAGTTCTTAAAATGGCCAAATTTTCGAAGATTGACTATAAAAATATGTTGCATTTTTCCAAGCAGATAGTCTAAGCTGGTGAAGCCCAATTTCACATCAGTAAAGTCCAATATTCAAGATAGATTCCAACTAATTTCAAGGCACACACTAAACAAGATTAAATCCAACCATCTCTATAGCATACCAACAGTGATATGTCAAGTGAATACCTCTGTACGAACGCACTCTATGCTCGAACATCAAACAATGACCAGGACAGTTCATTGGCTTAAGCCCAAACTCCTGTTTCTCAATCTGCAAGAGCAAGAATTCAGCCAAAACATCAATAGGAAAATCCATTATATCTTGTTTGTATATGAATACAAATTTCAAAAACACAAATAATAACTTGTGGAACTTTCTCTTTTTCTTTTAAATTAGCCAAAGCATTTAGAAAATAAAACAAGCAAGATTTAAATGAAACAAGGAACTATACAATTTCAGTCTGATGTCAGGGAGAAATCAGTTAAAGCAGATAAATTAAGGAAGCCGATTTTTCAACTTTAGAATCTAAGGACCATGTGCTTTGAGGAATTCATGTATATACAGCATATGAAGAGCAAGCGCCAATTTCACAAGTTAAATATTTAATCACTATATATAAGTCACAACTTCACGAATTACTAACAAAAAAAAAAGTTGAAATATAAGATTTTTGTGCCAAGGGCTTCCATTATTCCTTCCTTTTGTTGATACAGAAACTAAATTTACAAAAGATATCTCTCATATTGGAACAATACAACCTTGATGAATTGATAGCCATATGGCTTCTCTGGCACACTTAATAGAGTTTCCTCATTCTGACATGAATAGTGAGCAAACTCCCTAAGCCATCATCACCTCTAGGGTAACAAAAAGAAACATAATGCCACGATGTGAAGAACTGCTCACCTCAAGCACAAACATATTCTCCTTGTAGTTTGCAGCATGCCCAGATGTTTCCCAGAGTTGCATGTTGTAGATATTCGGACTGATTACCTAATATCAGGATGACATCATTAAGCCCAATCATTAATATAAATTCACAAGTCATGAGCATGAAACTAAGTTAATATCAACCTCCTCGTAGCCTCTATTCCTGTATTCACTTCGAATAAAATCCATCAATTTATTGTATATCCGAGCACCAAGTGGAAGAAAAAACCAGCTTCCTGGGCTGAAATTTAGAAGAGGTAAAGTAGAATCATTATAGACTACACAAAATATCATAACTCGCTGTCATGAATATTCATAGCCACATACCTGAGAGGGTGACAAAAGAAAAGCTCCTGTTTTACACCCAATATCCTGTGATCATATTTTTTAGCTTCCTCCAGCTGCCTTAAATATTCCTGATGAGGAAAATATTTTAAAATTATTATAGTAATACACACCAGCTCAAGTATAACCACCCTACCTAATATCTAAAAGTCATAAACTAGCTAAACTTTCAGTAAATACTGTACCATTAGCTTCACCAAAAACAACAACAGCAGGAACAAAGCCTAAGCCCTTAAATGAATTAGGGTAGGCTAATACGAACCATCGTAAGGAACCATCGACAAAGAAAAAGCAAAAAAAACAAAAGGTACTTCCAAAATTAAAGTTCATATTCTCTGAATCATAGAAAAGTTACTAATAGAGTAGAATCTGCAAGAACTGTCATAAAAGAATAGAGCAGCAATCCAGAAAAAATGTACTGCATAATCATTCCACAGCTTCAAAATACCACCATACAAATCTACAGGCACAAAAAAGGATATAGACATGCAAAGGAATCTATCACAATTAATAAATACCTTTAAACGCTTTGAATCGGGATAAGAAATTCCATAGACCCTTTGCAAGCTTTCCCGATTTTTGTCACCCCTCCAATAAGCAGATGAGGCCTGATCAAAGAGAGATTTTTAAGAAAATAGAAATACCAATTGCAACAATTTATAGAGAAAAACCTAATTTAGCATCACCTTTAAGCAACTAAGAGCTTTAACAAAGGATGTATTGGGTATATGGGGCCCACGACAAAGATCAACCAAAGGGCCACATCTGTAGACTGTTATAGTTTTGTCTTCAGGTAGATCATTGATAATTTCAACCTAAAACCACACACAAACCAACCACAAGCATGAAATAAAGAGCGAGTAGAAATGGTTAACAAGTGATCACGAGACCTCTCAACAAACAAGCCCAACCTATCACACCCCCCCCCCCCCCCCAAATATACAAATAAAATAATTCCCAGCTTGCCTTAAATTGGTTATCAGAAAATATCTCAAGTGCTTGTTGTCTTGTCACTTCAACTCGCTCAAATGGTTGTTTCTCCTGCAAATTAAGGAAATCGGGAAAAAAAAAATCAAACAGAAACCACGAAAAGCAAAGCACTACTAATAATATATATCCATGCCTAAAGAGATAGTAAGTGCATAAAGGGAACGAATTACACTAAAGAGTAATGATAAACAGCAATATTCTATATATTGATGAGCAACAAAAACAAATGCAAATGAACAATAATACGAAAAAAAAAATTAAGGAAAAAAAAAAGAGCCAAGCAAAACAACCACCTAGTTTAAATCTTCCTCGGGCAATGTTTCAGACTATTTGGATAGTCTCCAATCCTTTGGAGGTTCCACTTTTTGCTAAGGTAATGAATAGTGGTTAAGTTAGAAAATTGGTTTTTCTTTTCCTTTCAGTACTTTTTTTACTTCAACCCACACCACTTGCACCTCTACAATTATCGCTCCTCAAAATCTTCAATCGTCTCACTCTTAAAATACAAACCTTTGAATGATTCAACTAGAAGAGTAAGAAGGCTGAGAACTACCACCTAAAAGCCATTTAGAATTTTTCAACTTGTTTCATTCATAATTTTTAACCCACACCACTTTGCACCTCTGCAATTGGTTCCCCTCAAATTCTTCAATTGGCTTTGGTTCACTCTAAAGATACAAGCCTTTGAATGATTCAACTGGGAAGAGTTAGGAGACTGAGAAGTGAGAACTACCAACCAAAATTCTTTTTAAATTCTTCAACATGTTTCATCCAATTTTTTTTTTCTTGCCAATCTATCAAGGATCAACAAAAGAGTTGTGAGTAGAAGGATATTCAGTTTAACTAATTACTTCTAACCTTCTGTGCTCTAATTTTATTTTATTTTTTAGTTTTTGGTCTTTTACCATGTTGGTTTTCACTCTAGTTCTTTATTCATAGTAGTGTTCCAACACTTTCCAAATAGTATTAACTGAATCCTCTCATTATTCACCCTTGAGATTTACATTTAATCATGGCGGCAACCACTTGAATTTACTAAAAGGAAAATTTTGCAGTTTTCTGTTGGTGTAGGGGTGAGAGGCTGCAAGTTAGCAAGCGAAGAAATAGAGAGCTATATTAAGAAGGGAAAAAAAAAAAAAAAAAAAAAAAAAAAAAAAAAAAAAAAAAAAAACCCTCAACCATCTATAACTAACTATAGACACATGAAAGTGCAAAGTTTAATCCACTAGAACTCCAGTTCCTTTTAGGATCCTTACCTAATTAGTAAATGTCAATCCCAGATCAAGAATATAGAAAGAAAATGGTAGCAGAACATTAATGGGAAACAATAAATCACACATAAAAACTAAATTCATTGTACAAAGCGATCATCCATGAGTCAGATTATTGCAATTAAATATTGCATCTGCAATCAACAACAAAGTAATAAGGTAGTAAGGCTCCATCAACACAAAGTTATGGCTTCAACAACTAAAAGATGTCTTAAAAATACCTACAAACAATCAGAAAGTAGCTTGTTAATAGAAATACTATACCGCAACAGCTTTTGCTGCCACTGCCTCAATTTGTTTGAAGTGATCCTCATTCAAGCTCATTTCTCCATAAAATGCATCATAAAAAAAACCCTGTCCAAACATGAAAGTATTACAAGGGTGGCAAACTGATTAAAAAAAAGCTTATAGAGATGTAGATATTACTTCCACTTCTTATGTTCTTAATATTTCAGTTGAGCTCTCAATAATCATAACCTCCAGCACTTCCCCCATCAATCAATCAATTACATACAAACACTATGATAGGCTAATCTAATATCCTCTAATACCAACAGCAAGAATAACATTTCTACACAATGAAATATGAATTTCGTGTCTTGATGAGCAGCATATTATAAACAACACTCTGTTTAATACATATCTAATAAATTAAATTTCCCTGAATCCTGATTGTCCTTACAAGAGCAGCATGATCCTAAACAAACAGAGGTTTTGCAAAAGACTCAATCAAGACCAAGACACTCAATCAGGCTTACAAAGTCTAAGCTCAAAGATGACAGTAGTTACAGACATAGAGTAGGTTTATTGGTATATTATAGCCAAAAAATATAAAAGCAATATTTATAGCTAGATGTAAAGGCACTCCCCACTTACCTTGTACTTAAGTTACATTACCGCGCAATGGGCTAAATTGCTTGTTGAAATGCCTTACGTATTAGACCTTAAGCAAGACAGAGTACAGGGATACAAAGTGGCATTCACATCATAAGGAAAACAATGGCCAGGCACCTCGGCACCTGTAATATCTTTCCAAATTTCTATAAAAATAGTAGATGCCTCTATGTGGGGGAGTTGATTTACATAACCTTCACTTCCATTTTGACTGTCCGTCAGCATTGAAGTTTCTTAGACATTTCATATTTCGACCAGCGCATCAAACATTAATGTTAGCACCTTTGCTTTTAATGTTGTAGTTACGATTTTAAATGTTACATTCTCGTCCAGGTTCCTTCTTAATGTACCACCTTCTCACACATTACAACCAAAACCCTAAAGTTGCAGACTTTATTCACAACTAACACTTTTGTCACCAATAACAAAAGTGGTGACAAAAGTGATCCATCTAATCCATCTAACTAAAAGAGAGCTATGACAGAAAATCTTTGAACTAATAAATGGACAAGATTATCAAGATCACTTTACAATGCTGATGTATGGAGAGAGAATTTATCCTTAAATATTTGTTTGGAATGAGGCAACAATCAGCCTAGAGTTGTAAAGAAGCTTTACAGATAACTTTGAGAAGAAAGACAATCCTGATTCAGCAGCCACTTCGAGACTATTTTCACATTGACAAGGGACACATCACTAGAAGAAAGTAGCTAATTTTTTTTAGCAAGTCTTGACCATGGCTTTATTTCCCATTCAGAAAAAAGGAATGTGAGGCACATTAAATATAATCCACAAAGATGTTAAACTAGCACACATATCAGATGAAACCTCCTCTAGATCTCCTCAAATGAGTAACCATGAATTTCAATTCACATTTCTTCTCTTTATATTTTCCTATTGTGTCCACAATAAAATTACAATTGACTTACATATCTACATCCCATTCACCCTCCACGGAAAGGAAAGTCATAATGTAGTGCGGTCAAAAGGAATTGATAGCCGAACATATCATAAACCATTAATTCAAACTATAGTGTGGTTCCAAATCACATCAATGGCCACCAAGATAAACTGTACAAGAAGTTAAACTAATCAAGAGTCATTCCAACTCCCCTGCAAGAAATCTTATACTCCCAAAAATTTTATTATCGACTCCTAGACAAATAAATCATGTCCACCATAAAAAAATTACATAGGACCAAGAGTATAGCACATTATCACGGGATCTGCATTTATTTGTATTACCTAATAGCACAACAACTTACATAGAACGATAAGCTTAACAAAACCCAAACAAATATCAATCTGCAAAAACATCAATTGTCAATGGTAGAAGCTTAAACTCACCTCACCACGAGTAGTACACGGTCCAATACAAAGCTTGCATCCATATTCCGTCTCTAGAGCCTAACAAAACCCAAAAAAATTACAATAAACCAAAACATCAATCAATCAAACAATAATTCACAAATCACAACAAAGCCAAAACATCAATCAACCAGTAATTCACAAACGAAAAAAGAAAGATTGAAGTGTACCTGACCGAGAATATGAGCACTAGAATGCCAAAAAGTATCTCTACCTTCATCAGAATCAAAAGTATACAGCTTCAAATCAGAATCCTGTTCAAAAGGCCTAGTCATATCCCAAAGAGCACCATTAACCCCAGAAATCAACGAATTGGAAGCCAAACTCTTCGAAATCTGCGCCGCAATGTCAAGTGGAGTAGTAACCCATTTTTTCCCTTCCCTGACGTTTCCATCGGGCAATGTAATCCTTCACGAAACAAAAATCAGTCAAAATCGGTCAAAGGAGAGAGAAAAAGAAGGAAAAAAGAAGAAAGAGAGAGAACTTGATGGGTTCGCCGGAAATGGAGAGACGTTCGAGAGCTTGCTCAGCTTTAATGGCTTCGAAGTGAGCGATTCGCTTAGGGATGATTTCTGCGAGGTAAGTGTTGTCTCGAGGGTGAGATGCGGGAGTTGGCTTGGTGTTGGGAGCTTTGTCGCCGCCTGCCATGGAAGCTAAGCTCAGCAGATATGGCGGCTGAGAGAGGAGAGAGAATTTGCGGAGGAGTTAGGAGAAAGAAATTGTGAATTGGGGGGTTTTAGGAAAGGAAAGGCTTTCATAGGTGTGTTAAACTCTTAGGGAGTGTTTGGTTCATTAAATTAAAGGAATGGAAAGTAACTTCTTTTAATGTATATATATATATATTTAAAAGTCAAATAATAAAATACCCTGCGGGGATAGCTCAGTTGGGAGAGCGTCAGACTGAAGATCTGAAGGTCGCGTGTTCGATCCACGCTCACCGCATTTTTTATTTTTTATTTAAGAGAATACTATGTATGTCGTCGTCTTAACTCATAGATCACATGTAAATTATTCTCTTCAGTTTCAATATCTTATCTACACATTGAGCTCTAATGTGAACTTCCAACATAATTGGTGTATTACTATTCTAGCATTAAGAGTATACAATCCCACTATACTAATTAATAACAATAACACAAATCAAGTTCCAAATTTTTTACAAAGTCAATTGGTATATATATAGAGCAAGTTTTGATCCAGATCAAATCCTTAGCTTATATGCTTCTCTTTCATTATCAATTGCTCTCTTCGTTCTTTAGTGTTTGTCCTATACCTTTTTTTTCTTACTGTTTTCAAGAAACATGTTTTGAACGTTAATTAATAACTTTTAAACTACATTTTCTTTTCTTCTCTTATGGAAGATTAGAATTGGGTAGTAGCTGTTTCGGGGTTTTCTGATGTCCTGCGGGAGAGTTACAATTCCGAGACTGGAACTGGGCGCCTGTACCTGCAAAACAAACGGATGCTCCGGATGATTGGAGATCCGCCTCCGACGGTCAAGTTAGTACTTGATTAAGGAGTAATTAACGCGGAAATTAAAGTGATTGGGTCTCTCTAGGTGAGAGAGTTTAATGTTTGTAATCTGCGTAATCTCCCTTAATGAGGATTAAGGGAGGTATTTATAACCTCGGGAAACATGCCAATCTAGGTTTAGGTTAACCTTGGGCTGATTGGGCTTCCCACGGAAGTTGGGCCTAGGTGACCGGTTATCCCAGGTGTCATGGGAAGGACACGTGTCGTGTCGTAATTGGTCCATAGTGGACGGATCATTGCTTGACACGTGGCAGGCTCCTATTGGCCCATGTGACGGACACATGGCTGAACCTGGTTGGTCCACTTGTCAGATGGTGATTGGTGGGGAAAAATCCCCTAATCATTTGCCCCTCACAGGTGGCACGTGACTGGTCACGTGTTACCTGTGACAGGTATCGCCCTGTAACAGGCGACGGCCTGCTACAGGTGTCACTCGGCGAGAGGCCGAGAGATTCTCCCGCCAAAATTTTGAATTCTGGAAGTGACCCTTCGCCTTCTCACTTCGCCTATATAAAGGAGTGTTGACTTCGGTCATTTTCACACTTGAAAACTTTGTGAGAGAACATTCGGACCCCTGAACTTGCTCTGACATTTTGGACCCTTTCTGCCTACCGCCTGCTCTGACAAGCCGACTGCAAAGGATTTTCAGAACTTCATCAATCGTCACTCGTTCAGGTAACCGTCGGTTCTCTTACTCTGGCACCACGGAAGCACACGACACGATCTAGGACTAGGAGTGCCGCCTGCCCTTTTCTGGACCCATCTTTGCCCTTTATACAAAGTCCGACTGTATCTGTGTCTATGCAGAGCATGATGGCCAGAACAAAAAAGACTGCCAGGATCTCAAACTCAGACGGCTCCTCCCACAGGGTGCCGATTAGTGAAACATCTGACCAGGCGCCAGATGTGGAAGTGAAACAAAGCGGCTTAAAAACCGGAAGTTCTGAGGGAAGAGTCAAAGTGACCCCTTCCCATTTTACAGTTGACAATTCTACATTCTCTCCTGCTCCTTTTAAAGGAGAGGAGGCGGGCCCCTACGGGAGAGGGGAGGAGTCGTCCTCTTCGGACTCGTTAGAGGACAATTCCGAGTCTAGCTCTTCTGGCCATGCTTCTCTGGACACAGAAGAGAAAAACAGTCGCCTACAAGAGGCGAGGCTTTCTCACGCAGTTGAGAAGGGGGACGATTGGGCGGAGCCATCCGCCTCTCACCGAGAGCAAAATACCCCCTACTACTGCACGGTACCTCGGGGCCGGATCACAGCCATGCAAGAGAAAGTGGAGAGCTTTATCGCAAACCACACAATGGGCCCCGACTTTTTAGTGTTCGTGCCGGATCCAGAAGACACAGTCGTCTGGCCGGCTGGTACCAGTTATGATGGCGCCTGCTTTGGCTGCTACGAGGCGGCCATCAAGGCTGGGCTGCGCTTCCCACTACATCCGGCTGTTCAGCGGATCTTGGATGGGTATGATTTGGGGTTATGGCAGTTAGCCCCGAACTCCTGGGTCAACGTACACGGCTATGTGGCCGGGTGCGAATTGCACGGGGTGGAGCCGAACTTCGAGGCTTTCGCCCACATGAACTACCTCAGCCGGACCCCTAAGGCAGGCGGTACCGGCTGGTATCAATTGACGAGCCACAGGGGCTACCTCATGACGAGAGGTAAAGCAAACAAATGGAAGGACTGGCGGAGCACCTTCCTTATCATTGAGAGTTCAGACACAGAGCTGAACAAGCGCTTCAACAGGTGGAACAGGAATCCGCCCCTTCTTGCAGGCGGCCGCAGCATGCCGCCTGTTCCCCCCAAGGCTAAGAAAGAGATCCTAGATAAAGGACTCTTCAAAGTAGAGTCGAAGGTGAACTCTACTTCAGGGGTACGAGAGCAAGTACCCCTGCACTGCGTCCCGAGCTTCAAATGGCTCTACGACGAGTACTTTTTGGCCGCCTGTGGCCTCAGCAGTCGGTGCTCAAGAGGTAGCCGGCCTGTCGAATACTCTGTTGTTCCATGCATTTCTTGTTATGACTTTTATTAACTTTGCTATTTGTTTTTGCAGTGTACGCCATGAGCAAAATTACCGCCTCCAAGACTGCGGCGGCCATGTTGCGGGCCTCCATCATGCAACAGTCTTCAACCGACTCCCCCAACAAGGGGGCACCCTTGGTGGGCTTCGAACCTTTCACCCTCTTTTTGGAGTTGTGTTTATGCATATACTGACTCTTTTCTTCTTTTTTAGACGGGCGCTCCAAGAGCTTCTTCTTCCCAACATCCGGACCCCAAGGCCCGGAGGACGACTGTTGCGAGCTCTCCTGGTTCTGCCAGGAAACATGTGGCGGCTGAGAAACAGCCGGCCACTTCTTCTAAAACTCCAGTTGGGCCACCTAGAAGTATGAAATTATCCTTGTAAATTTTAGACTTGCTCCCTGCTTTACTAGGTCTAATCCGTTTGTTTATGCTTGATGCAGCCGGCCCTCAGGAGCCTAACTTGGTCGAGGTGGCCAAGTCTATGATCAAGGCCGTTCCTCCAGCTGAAAGGGAGGCGGTCAGGGGTGTCGGCACCCTTGACCTAGACGGGATTGCAGGGGTCCTTGCTGAGGTATACTTAGCATATTTTTGAGTATTTGAATTCCAGGACGCCTGTTTTCTTTTTTGTTTGGAAACTGACGCCTGTTCCCCTTTTTACTTAGGCCCTGCTCCGAGTGAACGGCCTTCGCAAGCCGCTTGACCGGAAGAACAAAGAGGTAAAGGCTGCAAAAGCTATGGCCGCCTCTGACTGTGATAAGGCAATGTTTCAAATTGCCCAAAATGAAGTTTTGACCATTGATATTCTTTATTATCAGGCGCAGGCTACCGCCGCTATCCGGGCTCAGTTAGAGGCGGCCCAAAAGAGGAATAGCGAGCTGGAGGCGACCATTAACAACCTCAAGGCCGAGCTGAGACCTCTTCGCCAAAAGATGTCCTCATACGAAACCTTGGAGAAATCCTTGGCGAGCGTAAAGGTACGCCTGGTGACCTAGGAGAAGAGTCTTACTCAGGAGCTCTCGGAAAACGCCGAGCAAGAAAAGAAAGAGATGGTCCGGGAGATGATGGAAGACTCTGCTCAAATCCAGCGCATGACTTGGGGCCGCCTCTTCCCCAATGCCGACTTTGCCTCATGGGAAAAAACGTACCGCCAGTGTTCTGATAGATATAATCAAGAGATCCTGGCGGCTGCTGAGGAAGAGGCGTTGGAGGAGGAGGAGCAGCCGGTAGTGGCGCTTGTGCCGCTTGGGGGTAATGCATCAAAGAAGGATGCAGCTGAAGCCGAGTCCAGCAAGAAGAGTGCTGACCAGGCGGCAGCTGCTAATATTGAAGATCTGCCCCCTTCTTAAGCTTTATGTCTTCTTTCCACGGCCTGCATGCCGTTTGTTTGTATTTACCCGGCCAGGGGGCCGGGGCTCTGAATATTTTGCCGGTCTTTAATGACCGGCTTCTTTTTAATGAATTTTTTTTTGTTTTGCTTCAAATTTGTTTAAGTATTAAATATTCTGATATCCAATTGTACACTATACCGACTGTTTTACATGGCCGATAGTTGCAGACAGGTACGGATAGTTAGTCACGCCGCTTATGCCCCTGGACGACTGGTTGTCTGTTTTCAGGCTAGACGATCAGTCGGCCATTTATCCAATCGGTATACGAACCATTTTAAAGACTGGATCCCCTTTAGGCAGGAGGTCCTGTCATTTGTAAAATTAACCAAGTAGGAAAGTTGTTTCCTACTTGTCATGCTTTTAGGCTAGAGACTTTAGGCCGTCTAGGCCGACTGTTTCCCGCCATATTTAATCTAGTGTGAACAGGTGCTGTATGAACACCTTTTTAGTTTCATACTAAAATTTTTAAGGAGTAACCAAGTAAACATGATTGTTACCTAGTCGCCAAGTAACTGAGTAGTAGAGGTATCAAGCGGTGGGTACCGGTTGTTCCCCTTTATTCGCCAATGTTTGTTGGCTTTTAACTCATAAAATACCAACTGTTCTTATCCCAAGTAGTTCAGTCGGTCGGTTGACCCGGATGGTTACTGCGAACACTTGCTTGACGTGATTAGTCAGTTAAGTGAGAGATATCCTTGTCCGGGAAACGGCCACGTGGTTGTCTTGGTTAGACAGTCGTATAGGTGCCGTGTAATGATTTTATAGAACAATGTTCCACCCAAAAAGGGAGCTGCTC